CATCGACTCAGAACTTTCCAGTGATGTTAACAGGACTAAAAACAATACCCGTGTTGTTGCCATAGTAATCCTCTGTCTCTTTTAATAGTTTATAATATTTAGCTTTGGAGCCGAGAAAGAATAACTCCGTCCACCGGAGACATCAGTAATAAGGATTATATAAGATTATAAAAGAATCACAAATGAGACTGAGCCACATTCTCTGTCATAGTTTTACTGTCTCTGTGCTGTTGCTTCTTCAAACCCCTGGCTAATTATGGTGTGTGTGTGTGTGTGTGTGTGCGTGACGGCGATAATTGAAACACTGGAGTGGGAGGAACAACATTTGTAATCACCAGCCTCTCAACCGTTTTAATGTTTTCTTTTGATTCATGGCTTTTGTGTTCGTCTGATCTCGTTGGACTCAAGGCACGAATTGGAGAAAAACCATTGATTCTGACCTTGTTTTTTCTTGTAATCTGGGCTACACCCCCTGACCTTCACCTGTGTCTGACAATCGGTCAAGCAAAATGTATTTGTATAGAACCTATACAGTATATCTGTACATACAGTGCCTTGCGAAAGTATTCGGCCCCCTTGAACCTTTCAACATTTCGCCACATTTCAGGCTTCAAACATAAAGATATAAAAATTTATTTTTTTGTCATGAATCAACAACAAGTGGGACACAATTGTGAAGTGGAACAAAATTCATTGGATAATTTAAACTTTTTTAACAAATACAAAACTGAAAAGTGGGACGTGCAATATTATTCGGCCCCCTTGCGCCACCTTTTGCTGCAATTACAGCTGCAAGTCGCTTGGGGTGTGTATCAGTTTTGCACGTCGAGAGACTGGAATTCTTGCCCACTCTTCCTTGCAAAACAGCTCTAGCTCAGTGAGGTTGGATGGAGAGCGTTTGTGAACAGCAGTCTTCAGCTCTTTCCACAGATTCTCGATTGGATTCAGGTCTGGACTTTGACTTGGCCATTCTAACACCTGGATACGTGTATTTGTGAACCATTCCATTGTAGATTTGGCTTTATGTTTTGGATCATTGTCCTGTTGGAAGATAAATTTCCGTCCCAGTCTCAGGTCTTTTGCAGACTCCAACAGGTTTTCTTCCAGAATGGTCCTGTATTTGGCTCCATCCATCTTCCCGTCAATTTTAGCCATCTTCCCTGTCCCTGCTGAAGAAAAGCAGGCCCAAACCATGATGCTGCCACCACCATGTTTGACAGTGGGGATGGTGTGTTCAGGGTGATGAGCTGTGTTGCTTTTACGCCAAACATATCGTTTTGCATTGTGGCCAAAAAGTTCGATTTTGGTTTCATCTGACCAGAGCACCTTCTTCCACATGTTTGGTATGTCTCCCAGGTGGCTTGTGGCAAACTTTAAACGAGACTTTTTATGGATATCTTTGAGAAATGGCTTTCTTCTTGCCACTCTTCCATAAAGGCCAGATTTGTGCAGTGCACGACTGATTGTTGTCCTATGGACAGACTCTCCCACCTCAGCTGTAGTTATCTGCAGTTCATCCAGAGTGATCATGGGCCTCTTGGCTGCATCTCTGATCTTCTCCTTGTTTGAGATGAAAGTTTGGAGGGACGGCCGGGTCTTGGTAGATTTGCAGTGGTCTGATACTCCTTCCATTTCAATATAATTGCTTGCACAGTGCTCCTTGAGATGTTTAAAGCTTGGGAAATCTTTTTGTATCCAAATCCGGCTTTAAACTTCTCCACAACAGTATCTCGGACTTGCCTGGTGTGTTCCTTTGTCTTCATGGTTCTCTCTGCGCTTTAAACAGAACCCTGAGACTATCAAAGAGCAGGTGCATTTATACGGAGACTTGATTAGACACAGGTGCATTCTATTTATCATCATCAGTCATTTAGGACAACATTGGATCCTTCAAAGATCCTCTTTGAACTTCTGGAGTGAGTTTGCTGCACTGAAAGTAAAGGGGCCGAATAATATTGCACGCCCCACTTTTCAGTTTTTTATTTGTTAAAAAAGTTTAAATTATCCAATAAATTTAGTTCCACTTCACGATTGTGTCCCACTTGTTGACTCATGACAAAAAATTGAAATTTTATATCTTTATGTTTGAAGCCTGAAATGTGGCAAAATGTTGAAAGGTTCAAGGGGGCCGAATACTTTCGCAACGCACTGTATATCTATGTATATTCACAGCAACTACAAGAATGAATTTAAAACAGGAGCTTTCTGTTTTAAATGTGAAATATCTTCAGAAGACAATATGAAAAAGGGTAGAAAAATGGTTTGCGCCTGTAACCCCCTGTGCTGCCACCAGAAGGAGCTGTTGTGATTTCACCTGGTACAATGATATCATACTGTTACAGGGCGCCTTGCAGCCTACCCACAACAAACCAGTATCCAGGGAAATTCCTTGGTAACCATGGCTTCCAGCAGAACTCTGGCCAATCACTGTCAGGTAGAACACTTTAGTACCAGCTCGGCCTGGATAGAACCAGGACCAAGTAGCCAGAGATTAGAGAAGGGTAGAGTAGGGTCTAGTCGAGTAGAGTAGAGTAGAGTAGAGTAGAGTAGAGTAGAGTAGAGTAGAGTAGAGTAGAGTAGAGTAGAGTAGAGTAGAGTAGAGTAGAGTAGAGTAGAGTAGAGTAGAGTAGAGTAGAGTAGAGTAGAGTAGAGTAGAGTAGGGTAGAGTAGAGTAGAGTAGGGTAGAGTAGGGTCTAGTCGAGCATAGGGTAGAGTAGAGTAGAGTAGAGTAGAGTAGAGTAGGGTAGAGTAGAGTAGAGTAGAGTCTAGTCGAGAATAGGGTAGAGTAGAGTAGAGTAGGGTAGGGTAGGGTAGGGTAGGGTAGGGTAGAGTAGAGTAGAGTAGAGTAGAGTAGAGTAGAGTAGAGTAGAGTAGAGTAGAGTAGAGTAGAGTAGAGTAGAGTAGAGTAGGGTAGAGTAGAGTAGAGTAGGGTCTAGTCGAGAATATGGTAGAGTAGAGTAGAGTAGAGTAGAGTAGGGTAGGGTAGGGTAGGGTAGAGTAGAGTAGAGTAGAGTAGAGTAGAGTAGAGTAGAGTAGAGTAGAGTAGAGTAGAGTAGAGTAGGGTAGGGTAGGGTAGGGTAGAGTAGAGTAGAGCATAATAAGTCTCTTAAATGTACAGTATATTTAAATTTATTTTTCTTAATAATATGAGCTCTATGTCCTTTTATAAACCTTCTCCTGGTTCTTGAGACCATTATTGAGACTGTCTATAATGGTGTCTATAATGGTGTCTATAATGGTGTCTATAATGGCGGTGTTGTTCCCGCTCCCTCACCTCGGGCCCCTCACCTCGGGCCAGAGCAGGCCTCTGTTTTGGCTCCGCGCTGCTGCTATATCGAGCGGCGATGCTATCTCTGCCATGGATTTGGCCGCCACACTTGTGCCTTTGATGAATTGATTGGCAGCTTGAGGCTAGAGACCAATTTGTCGAGGGCCAGCGGAGCTTGTCAGACAGAGGAGAGCCATCATGCTGCCATCACGGCCACCATCATGGCCACCCAGCTGTCTCACGGGGCAACACGGAGACCCGCCGCTCACGGATCATCGGCAGAGAGACCCCAAAGAGAGAGATCAAAGAGAGAGGCCAAAGAGAGACCAGAAAGAGACCAGAGAGAGATCAGAAAGAAACCCGCGTGACACCAGAGAGGGACCAGAGAGAGACCAGAAAGAAACCCGCGTGACACCAGAGAGGGACCAGAGAGAGACCAGAGAGAGACCAAAGAGAGAGGCCAAAGAGAGACCAGAAAGAGGCCAGAGAGACCAGAAAGAGACCAGCATGAGACCAGAGAGGGACCAGAGAGAGACCAGCGTGAGACCAGAGAGAGACCAGAGAGAGAGGCCAAAGAGAGACCAGAAAGAGACCAGAGAGAGATCAGAAAGAAACCCGCGTGACACCAGATAGGGACCAGAGAGAGACCAAAGAGAGAGGCCAAAGAGAGACCAGAAAGAGGCCAGAGAGACCAGAAAGAGACCAGCATGAGACCAGAGAGGGACCAAAGAGAGACCAGCGTGAGACCAGAGAGAGACCAGAGAGAGACCAAAGAGAGAGACCAGAAAGAGACCAGAGAGACCAGAGAGAGACCAAAGAGAGGCCAAAGAGAGACCAGAAAGAGATCAGAAAGAAACCCGCGTGACACCAGAGAGGGACCAGAGAGAGACCAGAGAGAGACCAAAGAGAGACCAGAAAGAGACCAGAGAGACCAGAGAGAGACCAAAGAGAGGCCAAAGAGAGACCAGAAAGAGATCAGAAAGAAACCCGCGTGACACCAGAGAGGGACCAGAGAGAGACCAGAGAGAGACCAAAGAGAGACCAGAAAGAGACCAGCATGAGACCAGAGAGGGACCAGAGAGAGACCAGAGAGAGACCAGCGTGAGACCAGAGAGAGACCAGAGAGAGACCAGAAAGAGACCAGAGTGAGAGACCAAAGAGAGAGACCAGAGAGACCAGAGATTGAGTTTTATTGTCAAAGTCCAGAAGAAAATCCACAACTTTGTCAAGTCCACGGTGACAGGCGGCGAATAAAAGGTGTCCTTGGACGGAGAGAGCTGCGGTGAAAAGGCGTGTTTGTGAATTCAACCAGAGAACAAGACGCTGAACCTTTTCAGAGCGAAGTCAAGGACGTAAACAAACGCTGGGAACATTGGCCGCCTTCAGAAAGGGAAGAACGGGAGGTGAGGACTGGCCCACACAAAGATGGCCGCCAGATGCTTTTTTAAGACGTGAAAAGACGTTTTGGAGGAGTCCAGGGTTAGAGTATTCAGGAAGAAGAAAGCTCCGTGGACAAGAACATGTACAATAACTAACATTTGGGACTAGGGCTGGGACTGGGAATTTATTTGAGGCTTTATAATTAATTAATCACATATAAATATTTGACCTGAGAACAGAGAAAAATGGTAGTTTTTCAAATGGATTTTTAGTTTACCAATAAATAATGACTGAATACAGAAGCAACACATGGTCATTGTGGAGACTTCTTACACATCAAATAATGTTTCTGTCATTGCCTCCACATACGCTCCTCCTCCTCCTCCTCCTCCTCCACACACTCTGACCACAGCATACACTCCTCCTCCTCCTCCTCCTCCTCCACACACTCTGACCACAGCATACACTCCTCCTCCTCCTCCTCCTCCACACACTCTGACCACAACATACACACCTCCTCCTCCTCCTCCACACACTCTGACCACAACATACACACCTCCTCCTCCTCCTCCACACACTCTGACCACAACATACACTCCTCCTCCTCCTCCTCCTCCACACACTCTGACCACAACATACACACCTCCTCCTCCTCCACACACTCTGACCACAACATACGCTCCTGCTCCTCCTCCTCCAGCATACGCTCCTGCTCCTCCTCCTCCTCCACACTCTCTGACCACAACATACGCTCCTCCTCCTCCAGCATACGCTCCTGCTCCTCCTCCTCCACACACTCTCTGACCACAACATATATGCTCCTCCTTCTCCTCCTCCTCCACACACACTGACCAGAACATATACGCTCTTCCTGCTAAGGTTTTTATAATAAGGTTTTGATGTATACATTCGGACTAAAAATTAGCAATAGCGGCTCACGCCTGTGTCTCACACCTCCTCCTCCTCCTCCTCCTCCTCCTCCTCCGCTCACACACAGGAGTCGCTGCTCCTCCTCCTAACACACAGAGTCCATAGCTCCATACGCTCATTCCTGTCTCTAACTCACTGGAATTTAGACACAGCTAAAGTTGGTCTGTGCTTGTTATAATGTACCTTTGAACAAAAAAAGTCACGGAGCTCCAGTTGGTGCTCCAGTAATATCGGCCTGTTTGAAACTCATCCAGTGAAGAACGTTCCGCAGTGCAAAAATGAATATGATTAAAGTGATTGTCTGGAGTTTGTCAGAAAGAGAGACAGAGAGGTGCTTGATTTGAAAAAAAAAAGACGCAAGCTCCTCCCCCTTCCTTTCTGATTGGTCTACACCTATGTTTCCGTAACACTTTGAAATGTTAATCAGAGAACATATTATACATAAACATTATTAATACACATGCACGGAGGATTTCAGAATTATTTGTTAACGTTTTAATGAAGAAAAAAAACCCGGAAGTGCTATTATCATGAATTGCACATTATAGGACACATCTGCAGAGGATCTGATTATGGATATAGGTTCAGTATATAAATGATTATGGATATAGGTTCAGTATATAAATGATTATGGATATAGGTTCAGTATATAAATGATTATGGATATAGGTTCAGTATATAAATGATTATGGATATAGATTCATAAGTAACTCGGCGTACATGTTTTCATGTAGTTTCAGAGCCTAATAGAGGATTGATTCGGAGGCTCCGCGAAAACAAACAACTGAGCATGCGCGCAGCTGCGAGCATCAGCGCTGATGATTGACAGCCCTTGGCATCACTTGATTGGTTAACCTCGACGGCATCGTGGATTCTGAGCTAAAGCTAAGAGAAGGGAAGGCGGGAAGGAGGTCAATTTAACACATTTCCTAAAATTTGTAATTCATTTAGAGTTACAGACATCACTTTAAAATGCGTCAATTTTTTTAACGCGCTAATTTTTGTGTAATTAATTAATCTTAATTAATGAGTTAAAGTCCCGGCCCTATTTGGGACTTTTACCACTGATTTAAAAACTGATTTGGAAAAAGACTAGTGTGAGACCAGTGAGCGAGAGAGCACAGAGAGAGAGCACAGAGACCGGAGAGAGAGACAAGAGGGAGAAAAGAGAGAGACCAGAGAGAGAAACAAGAGAGATGGACCAGAGAAAAAAGAGAGAGGGACCAGAGAGAGACCACAAAGAGGGACCAGAGAGAGAGACCAGAGAGAATGGAAAGAAGAGAAAGCTCATTTTAACTTGAAATGCCGGTAACCTGACAACACTGGGATAACATTGACGCAGGTGCAATGCTAATAAACCTTAGTGGTGATAAACTCAGAGAGAGACATCTAGGCCTCGGACCATCTTTGGCGTTTGGCGGTGGACAGACGGAGGCGGACATGGCTCCAAAAGCAACCGGAGCTATGCCAGGCCAGAGACGGGCCAGAGAGGGGCCCATGGGCAGCTGCAGGCGACAAAATCATTACACTGATGGGTCCTGGAGACGCACTCGGGCTGGAGGAAGATGGTCCAGATGCCAGAGCAGGCCGAGGGGAGGAGGCCGGGGGGAGGAGGCCGGGGGGAGGAGGCCGAGAGGAGGCGGCCGAGGGGAGGAGGCCAGGGGGAGGAGGCCGAGGGGAGGAGGCCGAGAGAGGAGGAGGCCGAGGGGAGGAGGCCGAGAGGAGGAGGCCGAGGGGAGGAGGCCGAGGGGAGGAGGCCGAGGGGAGGAGGCCGAGGGGAGGAGGCAGAGAGGAGGAGGCCGAGGGGAGGAGGCCGAGGGGAGGAGGCCGAGGGGAGGAGGCCGAGAGGAGGCGGCCGAGGGGAGGAGGCCGAGAGGAGGCGGCCGAGGGGAGGAGGCCGAGGGGGGAGGCCTGGATGAGGAGGTGGTAATAAGCAAATGAGGAACCAGGAGAGCCACCATGTTTACATAATGCGCTCATCATTTTCCGAATACTCACGAGGTGAATATACACAAGGCAGGGTGGGGTTGGCAGGGTGGGGTTGGCAGGGTGGGGTTGGCAGGGTGGGTGGGGTTCGGCAGGGTGGGGTTGGCAGGGTGGGTGGGGTTGGCAGGGTGGGGTTGGCTGGGTGGGGTTGGCAGGGTGGGTGGGGTTGGCAGGGTGGGTGGGGTTGGCAGGGTGGGGTTGGCTGGGTGGGTGGGGTTGGCAGGGTGGGGTTGGCTGGGTGGGTGGGGTTGGCAGGGTGGGGTTGGCTGGGTGGGGTTGGCAGGGTGGGTGGGGTTGGCAGGGTGGGTGGGGTTGGCAGGGTGGGTGGGGGCTGGGACAAAGCTCACTCTGTCACATCTTTAGAGCTGCTTTTTCAGACAGAACAGACTCTCAGCCTAAAGCAGGGGTGTCCAAACTTGTCAGTAAGAGGGCCACTTTAGTTCATCAGACTTGACCTCGGGCCGATAACCTGGATTTAAAAACGGGGTTGGAGCTGGACTGACTGGATTCTGGAATTTAAAACTGGTTTTGATTCGTCCTTATTGATTCAGAGCTGCATTTTATGTGAAATGTTGTGACACAATCATAAACAAATGTCATTAAATAACAATAAAGTCAACGACTGGATTCCAGAGGCTCTGAGGATTACAACAGGGTACAGCATGACTGTGTTGGTGGAGCTGGAAGTTGAAGTTGGCTGGATGACACCGTCAAAGTGCCTCAATTGAGGCCGTGGGCGGCACGGTGGCTGAGTGGATAGCACTCTCGCCTCTCAGCAAGAAGGTCCTGGGTTCGAATCCTGGTCGGACCAGGGCCTTTCTGAGTGGAGTTTGCATGTTCTCCCCGTGTCTGCGTAGGTTTCCTCCGGGTACTCCGGTTTCCCCTACCACTAAAAATATGTCCAATAGTTCTAGCATGCGCCTCCTGTACTGGCAACCCCGCTCCCATCTCTGTGTGGAGTGAGAGCCAAATGCCCAAAAAATTAACAATTGTAAACCGCTTTGAGACTCAGATCTGCAGTGAAAAGGCGGTATATAAATAAAGATTACTACTACTACTACTTTGTGTTTGCAGCAGAGGGCCACATACAATCACAGAGGGCCACAATTGGCCTGATTTATTCTAACCGTGTTGTAACGTGAAACTCTGATCCTCCTCTGCTCCTCCTCCTCCTCCTCTGCTCCTTCACTATTGTCCTGGTTGTTTCTGTGTGTAGCTGTTTTGAGGTTGTGCAGTCGTCCTTGGACAGTTTACTGTCGACTGAACTTACTCAGCCTTCAAAACTTTTTATCCAGAACTTTCTTTGAGGGAAAACACACACACACACACACACACACACACACAGAGAGAGATACACACAGGAAAGAGAGACCAGAGAGAGGGAAAAGAGAGAGACCAGAGAGAGACCAGAGAGAGAGACACCAGAGAGAGAGAGAGACCAGAGAAAGAGAGAGACCAGAGAAAGAGCCCAGAGAGGGACCAGAGAGAGAGACCAGCGGGAGAGAGACCAGAGAGAGAGACCAGAGAGAGATAGAGAGAGACCAGAGAGAGAGACAAGACAGAGAAAGAGACCAGAGAGAGACAGAAAGACCAGAGAGAGACCAGAGAGACCTAAAGAGGAACCACTGTATCTTTAATACTGTCTTGTTCTGTCAAATGCGAAAGTATTTCAGTATGAAGCAGTTATAACAGTTTTCTTATTGCTCTGATATTCTGAGCTTTAGATCTTCTCTCCTCGCTCGGCTCCAGAGTCTGTGGTTCAGAGTCTGTGGTTCAGAGTCTGTGGTTCAGAGTCTGTGGTTCAGAGTCTGTGGTTCAGAGTCTGTGGTTCAGAGTCTGTGGTTCAGAGTCTGTGGTTCAGAGTCTGTGGTTCAGAGTCTGTGGTTCAGAGTCTGTGGTTCAGAGTCTGTGGTTCAGAGTCTGTGGTTCAGAGTCTGTGGTTCAGAGTCTGTGGTTCAGAGTCTGTGGTTCAGAGTCTGTGGTTCTGAGTCTGTGGTTCAGAGTCTGTGGTTCAGAGTCTGTGGTTCTGAGTCTGTGGTTCAGAGTCTGTGGTTCAGAGTCTGTGGTTCAGAGTCTGTGGTTCTGAGTCTGTGGTTCTGAGTCTGACTTTGGCCCCGCCCCTCGCTGCGCTCTGCACTAATTGCTGTGGCATTGGAGTTATTTCTGTCTCAGTTTCCACCGTTTTGGCTGTGGTTCTGTGAGCGGGCCCAGGCTCGGCTGCACACGGACGGCCCGGGGAGACTGGAGATGTTAATTCACTAATGACATTACTGCGGAGGTTATTACTGCGCAGAGACGGAGAGGCTTCAGGGAGGAGCGCTAACGGTACAGCTCTATTCCAACACAAGCAGGAGGAGGTGAGAGGGGGTGAGGAGGTGAGGGGGTGAGGAGGTGAGGAGGTGAGGAGGTGAGGGGGTGAGGAGGTGAGGGGGTGAGGAGGTGAGGAGGTGAGGAAGTGAGGAGGAGGGAGGGGGTGAGGAGGTGAGGAGGTGAGGAGGTGAGGGGGTGAGGAGGTGAGGGGGTGAGGGGGTGAGGAAGTGAGGAGGTGAGGGGGTGAGGAAGTGAGGAGGTGAGGGAGTGAGGAGGTGAGGGGGGTGAGGAGGTGAGGAGGTGAGGAGGTGAGGAGGTGAGGAGGTGAGGGGGTGAGGAAGTGAGGAGGTGAGGGGGTGAGGAGGTGAGGGGTGAGGGGTGAGGGGGTGGTGAGGGGGTGAGGAGGTGAGGGGGTGAGGGGGTGAGGAGGTGAGGGGGTGAGGAGGTGAGGGGGTGAGGAGGTGAGGGGGTGAGGAGGTGAGGAGGTGAGGGGGTGAGGGGGTGAGGAAGTGAGGAGGTGAGGGGGTGAGGAGGTGAGGGGTTGAGGAAGTGAGGAGGTGAGGGGGTGAGGAGGTGAGGGGGTGAGGAGGTGAGGGGGTGAGGAAGTGAGGAGGTGAGGGGGTGAGGCGGTGAGTAGGTGAGGGGGTGAGGAGGTGAGGGGGTGAGGGGGTGAGGAGGTGAGGGGGTGAGGAGGTGAGGAGGTGAGGAGGTGAGGGGGTGAGGAGGTGAGGGGGTGAGGAAGTGAGGAGGTGAGGGGGTGAGGAGGTGAGGGGGTGAGGAGGTGAGGGGGTGAGGAGGTGAGGGGGTGAGGAAGTGAGGAGGTGAGGGGGTGAGGAGGTGAGGGGGTGAGGAGGTGAGGTGGTGAGGGGGTGAGGGGGTGAGGAGGTGAGGGGGTGAGGAGGTGAGGAGGTGAGGGGGTGAGGGGGTGAGGAAGTGAGGAGGTGAGGGGGTGAGGAGGTGAGGGGTTGAGGAAGTGAGGAGGTGAGGGGGTGAGGAGGTGAGGGGGTGAGGAGGTGAGGGGGTGAGGAAGTGAGGAGGTGAGGGGGTGAGGCGGTGAGTAGGTGAGGGGGTGAGGAGGTGAGGGGGTGAGGGGGTGAGGAGGTGAGGGGGTGAGGAGGTGAGGAGGTGAGGAGGTGAGGGGGTGAGGTGAGGTGGGGGGTGAGGAGGTGAGGGGGTGAGGAGGTGAGGGGGTGAGGAAGTGAGGAGGTGAGGGGGTGAGGAGGTGAGGGGGTGAGGTGGTGAGGGGGTGAGGGGGTGAGGAGGTGAGGGGGTGAGGAGGTGAGGAAGTGAGGAGGTGAGGAGGTGAGGGGGTGAGGAGGTGAGGGGGTGAGGAGGTGAGGGGGTGAGGGGGTGAGGGGGTGAGGGCAGGTACAGAACTAAACACATAGTGTGTGTGTTAATATGGGCCCTGAGCCCAGCGTTGGACCCGCTGCAGTTCGCCTACAGGCCGGGCATCGGAGTCGAGGACGCCATCATCTCCCTCCTCCATCGCTCCCTGTCCCACCTGGAGAAACCCGGCTCCGTTGTGAGGATTCTGTTCAATTTCTCCAGTGCCTTCAACACCATCCAGCCGAGGCTTCTCAGGGACAAGATGGAGACAGCCGCAGTGGACTACGACCTGTCCCAGTGGATCCTGGACTACCTCACAGACAGACCCCAGTTTGTGAGAACCAGGGACTTTGTGTCTGAGGTCCTGACCTGCAGTGTGGGGGCCCGCTCTACCTGCTGAGGAGGCTCAGGTCTTTTGGAGTGCAGGGGCCACTCCTGAAGACCTTCTATGACTCTGTGGTGGAGCCTCTTATACAGTGTGGTCTGCAGCAGCATCACAGAGAAGGAAGAAGCTGGAACATCAGGAAGTCCGATCCCTGGACACAGTGCAGCAGGTGGGGGACAGGAGGGTCCTGGACAAACTAACATCTGGACCATGACTGTCGCCCCCTGCAGGACACTCTCTCTGCTCTGGAGAGCAGCTTCAGTGACAGACTTATTCACCCTCGCTGTGTGAAGGAGAGGTTCCGCAGGTTTTTCCTTCCTGCTGCTGTCAGACTGTACAATGAGAACTGCTGAGCCTGTACATGTCATTCAACTGTAAGTAAGTAATCTTTATTTATATACTACTTTTCACAAACCAGAGTCACAAAGCGGTTTAGGTTAGACTACTGCAATGGCCTGCTCACAGGTCTGTCCAAACAGGCTGTAAAACAGCTGCAGTACATTCAAAATGCAGCAGCTCGAGTCCTGACTAGAACCAGGAAGTACGACCATATTAGTCCTGACTAGAACCAGGAAGTACGACCACATTAGTCCTGACTAGAACCAGGAAGTACGACCACATTAGTCCTGACTAGAACCAGGAAGTACGACCACATAGGTCCTGACTAGAACCAGGAAGTACGACCACATTAGTCCGGTCCTCAGGTCTCTGCACTGGCTTCCTGTGGCTCAGAGAATAGACTTTAAAACAGCTCTGCTTGTTACAGGTCTCTCCATGGCCTCGCACCAAAATATATTAGTGACATGTTAGTCCCATATGAACCAGCCCGGACTCTGAGGAGCACAGGGACTGGCCTCCTGCTGGGACTCTGAGGAGCACAGGGACTGGACTCCTGCTGGGACTCTGAGGAGCACAGGGACTGGCCTCCTGCTGGGACTCTGAGGAGCACAGGGACTGGCCTCCTGCTGGGACTCTGAGGAGCACAGGGACTGGACTCCTGCTGGGACTCTGAGGAGCACAGGGACTGGACTCCTGCTGGGACTCTGAGGAGCACAGGGACTGGACTCCTGCTGGGACTCTGAGGAGCACAGGGACTGGACTCCTGTTAGTGCCCAGAGTCAGAACTAAACATGGGGAGGCTGCTTTTCAGATTCATGCTGCTAAAATCTGGAACAGTCTTCCTGAAGATGTGAGACAGGCCTCCTCTCTGACAATGTTTAAAACCAGGTTAAAGACAGTTCGGTTTAGTTGTGCTACAACTGAGGGATTTTATATTTTTATCTTTCTTTTTAATGTTCTGTGATTATTTATGATTTTAATGCTATCTTGTTTTGTTCAGCTTTGAGTTGCCTTGTGTATGAATTGTGCTATACAAATAAACTTGCCTTGCCTTACAATTGTAAATAAGTAAATACTAAAATCATGTGAAATGTGCAATACTGCAACTTCACTTTATCTACTTATTATCCTGCTCTATATGTACAGTATATAACCCAGCACTACTACATATATATTTTTCATTTTTTAAGACTGGTATTGAAGCATCTACAGGGAGTTAAGAAACTACTACTTTTGTGTATTTTGTATATTGTGTGTGCTCTCACTACTGTCCTGTCTGTGCGCTGCAACAACGACATTTCCCCACTGTGGGACGAATAAAGGAATTCTTATCTCTTATTCCATTGTTTTTGTGCTTTGGTGCTAGCTCCGGTGCTACACTCCGCAGAGGTGATTTTCCGGAGGGTCAGTTGCCGTTTTAAAACTCGTGACAGTTATACACAACGTACATTCCACTTAACTTTTGTCACTATTGTTTAATTTTAAGCTAGCGGCTAAGCTAGACTTTGGAGATCCACATGGAAACACGTGCGGCACAGCTGTCTGCTGTCGTGATGCTAATGTGTGGTGTGAGAAAGAGTGGTCCCTGATTTATGGCGGGGGTGATGTGTTCTATAAATAACCCACAAAAAGTGAAATCCTTGAAGTGGCAGCTGCTTTTAAGGCTGAAAAACTCCACACACACTTTATACACTTTTCTAACACCTGAACTCCCGACTGATGAAGTGAGAGAGACCAGAGAGAGACCAGAGAGAGACCAGAGAGAGACCAGAGAGAGACCAGAGAGAGACCAGAGAGAGACCAGAGAGAGACCAGAGAGAGACCAGAGAGAGACCAGAGAGAGACCAGAGAGAGACCAGAGAGAGACCAGAGAGAGACCAGAGAGAGACCAGAGAGAGACCAGGGAGAGACCAGAGAGAGACCAGAGAGAGGCCAGAGAGAGACCAGAGAGAGACCAAAGAGAGACCAAAGAGAGGCCAGAGAGAGACCGAAGAGAGACCAGGGAGAGACCAGAGAGAGACCAGAAAGAGGCCAGAGAGACCAGAGAGAGGCCAGAGAGACCAGAGATAGACCAGATAGAGATCAGAGAGACAGACCAGAGAGAGACCAGAGAGAGAGAGACCAGAGACTAGAGAGAGAGAGACCAGAGAGAGACCAGAGACAGACCAGAGAGAGACCAGAGAGAGAGACCAGAGAGAGAGACCAGAGAGAGACCAGAGAGAGAGACCAGAGAGAGACCAGATAGAGGCCAGAGAGAGGCCAGAGAGAGACCAGAGAGAGACCAGAGAGGGACCAAAGAGTGAGACCAGAGAGAGACTAGAAAGAGACCAGAAAGAGACCAGAGAGAGGCCAGAGAGAGGCCAGAAAGAGACCAGAGAGAGGCCAGAGAGACCAGAGAGAGACCAGAGAGAGACCAGAGAGAGACCAGAGAGAGACCAGAGAGAGACCAGAGAGAGACCAGAGAAAGACCAGAGAGAGACCAGAGAGAGACCAGAGAGAGACCAGAGAGAGACCAGAGAGAGACCAGAGAGAGAGACCAGAGAGAGGCCAGAGAGACCAGAGAGAGACCAGAAAGAGACCAGAGAGAGGCCAGAGAGACCAGAGAGAGACCAGAGAGAGACCAGAGAGAGACCAGAAAGAGACCAGAGAGAGGCCAGAGAGACCAGAGAGAGACCAGAGAGAGACCAGAGAAAGACCAGAGAGAGACCAGAGAGAGACCAGAGAAAGACCAGAGAGAGACCAGAGAGAGACCAGAGAGAGACCAGAGAGAGAGACCAGAGAGAGAGACCAGATAGCGATCAGAGAGAGAGAGAAACTAAAGAAAGCACAATAACACAAAGGCCATGAAAACTGTACCGTGTGACGGCGAGGAACCACTGAATAACTTCAAAACTTTGAAATGAACTGAAACACACTTATTTCTGAGGCATTCCCAGTTTTCTCACGAATGTCCTTGAACGTCCTTTTGTTTTAAAACCACCCAAAAAAAAATCTTCATTAGAATCGATAGCAGATTTTCGCCAGCTTGACGTGAAGGCCTCATTAGCGCCTGGAAGCTAACGGCAAACACTTGAAATCTTATGTAACGTCTATAGAAGCGACACATATGCACAAATCTATGCATTATTCATGGTATCAGACAAAAGCAGGTGGACTCCTCAAGCTGCTTCTGTGATGAGTCATTTCATCTTCACAATCGCCCAAACTGCTGAATCCAAGGAGGGTTTTGAGCGAAAAAAAAACAATGTACACATCAGCTAAAATCAGGTAATTATCCAGAGGGATTCACAAACTTATCTGCACTGTCTGAGATTTCTTTTTATTCTGACAAATGAGACGGAAACAAACGCAGATGAAAGCTACCTCTGTGTTGAAAAGAAGACGCCCAAAAAGCTGCCGCGCCTCGTCCAATCCGCCTTCCAGATACACAGCACCTGAGGATAGACAATGACACACAATGAAACACAAACCTCTAACAAAAGTCTGTCTCAACTTTGAGCTGAAATCTGCAAAAAGTACATTTCGACCAATAATCTGTTGTTTACATTCTGTGTTAGCATTAGCATCTGTATACAGTCTGTGTTAGCATTAGCATCTGTATACAGTCTGTGTTAGCATTGTCCGTCTATATACAGTCTGTGTTAGCATTAGCATCTTTATACAGTCTGTGTTAGCATTGTCCGTCTGTATACAGTCTGTGTTAGCATTAGCATCTTTATACAGTCTGTGTTAGCATTGTCCGTCTGTATGCAGTCTGTAATAATAATAATAATTCTCTCAGTAGGAGCTTTAAGAGCCACTTAACAACGGGATAAGCCTGTGTCTATGCGGGTGAATAAACAGCTGTTTATTTATACAAGGAGACAACAGTCCACTCCACAGGCGGCGCTCACCTGCGCTAACACATAATACATGACAGACCCTAAAGCTTCAGTTTGGTTTCCAGCCATAATTTGCATTGGTCTAATTTGAAACGTGGGGAATTGATGGCGTTTAAGCGGTGAACCACTTGTGCCGCGTCCCCAGCTCCTCTTAATGGGAACGCTGAATTAATTAAACCTGGCATTGAGTTATAATTGCTTTATTAAAAGTGGGATTGTATTTTTATTGCTTTTTGTGGCAGCGATGACCTGGGGGTTTGTGGCAGATCCGTGTTCACACCAGGGAGGAGGCGCGTGTGAGGAGGCGCGTGTGAGGAGGCGCGTGTGAGGAGGCGCGTGTGAGGAGGCGCGTGTGAGGAGGCGCGTGTGAGGAGGCGCGTGTGAGGAGGCGCGTGTGAGGAGGCGCGTGTGAGAAGGCGCGTGTGAGGAGGCGCGTGTGAGGAGGCGCGTGTGAGAAGGCGCGTGTGAGGAGGCGCGTGTGAGGAGGCGCGTGTGAGGAGGAGTGTGTGAGGAGGCGCGTGTGAGGAGGCGCGTGTGAGGAGGCGCGTGTGAGGAGGCGCGTGTGAGGAGGAGTGTGTGAGGAGGCGCGTGTGAGGAGGAGTGTGTGAGGAGGAGCGTGTGAGGAGGCGCGTGTGAGGAGGCGCGTGTGAGGAGGAGTGTGTGAGGAGGCGCGTGTGAGGAGGCCATTCGTACAGATGTCAGACTAATGGACCAGCACTTTATTATGAGTTCTAGAAACTCTGGGGCTGTGGTAATGTGGAGGAGAGCGGCTGGTCCAGAGCTCTGTGTGTGTGTGTGTGTGTGTGTGTGTGTGTGTGTGTGTGTGTGTGTGTGTGTGTGTGTGTGTGTGTGTGTCTGTGTGCGTGTGCACTTGTTTTCAACTCCTGGTGGGTTCCATAACCTGAGATTCCACTCACGTCATGGGGACTGGTTTTACGTGGTGGGGCCCGAACACCGGACCCCACTGGTCCAAGCTTAATAATCAATGGGTAATGCTTTTCTAACGGTCCTTATGCAGTCTCTGTAAAAATATGGAAAGGACCCCTGGAAGTTTACTTTCCTGAAAAAAGTGTGTTATGTGTAGGAACCCTGGTGGTGGGTTGCGGGATATCAAGGAGGGGCACACTGGGGCAATTTCAGTCCAGCCGGCTGGAGCCAATCATGGAGCAGCACAACAGAGGAAGTCAGGTGTCAGGCTAGAAAAAGGTGCAAGTGTGTGGTTCATTAGGCTGCAGCCAATCACAGAGCAGCACACTGAAGCGCACGCTTACAAACCACTGGTAAGTGCTGACTACAAGTCATGACTTCAAATTGTTATATAGAATGATTACAAATTATTTGTTGTTTGTGCAGCTTAGTCAAGAGTCCCTAATTGATGAAGTCGACTCAGATTCTGACGATTTAACTGTCAAGAAGAAACCTGTAAAAAAGTATGGAAAAAGAAAAATCAAAAACACTTTTCTTCAAGACTCGGAAAGTGACGAACCAAAGGCAAATAAGATTGTTATCATGCAGCTGCAAAAGAAGAAAAATGGGGGCAGGGTTTACAGCAAGAGACACTTCTGCCTCTACTGTTCAATGTCCTGCCACAAAATGTCCCGTCATTTGACTAGAAAACATGGAAATGAAAGTGACGTAGCCAGAGCATTGGCTCTACCTGTGAAATCTAAAGCACGTAAACTTCAGTTTGATTTGATCAGGAATAGTGGAAACCGTGAGCACAATGTTGAGGTTTTAAAGGCCGGCATTGGAACTTTAGTCCCAGCTAAACAGCCAAATTGCCCAGTTAAATCCAGTGAGTTTTTGCACTGTATAGACTGTGGGGCATTGCTTAAGCGAAAGTCGCTGTGGAGGCATGTGGCCAGGTGCCGGCTTTCACAGAAAGATGCCCAGGCTAAACCAGGCTAAACCAGGTAGAAGTAGGGTCCAGTCCCTCTGCTCCCTAGCCCAGCCTGTACCGGAGGGCATCAGCAAAAAGCTGTGGTCTTTAATTTGGGCAATGCATCAGGATGAGGTCACGGGTGTTGTCAAAGCAGAAAAGGGGATTCTGAGACTCGGAGAGCACCTGTACTTAAAACACGGGCATGATAAGACTAAGCATGATTACATCAGGCAGAAAATGAGAGAAGTCGGTAGGTTAATTAACGAAGCAAAAACTGCAGGGAAACTGAAAACAATTAAGGATTTCTTTATTCCTTCCAACTTTAACCATGTGATTGATGCAGTCAGGTCTGTGGCTGGATATGATGAGGAAACAAATCAATACAAGACTCCATCCTTGGCCCTCAAACTCGGCCATAGCCTCAGAAAGCTAGCAGATATTCTTGAATGTGACTCAAAAATGGAGCATTGTGTTGATGAACTATTTATTAAAAACCTCCAACGAAGCCGGCTGCTTTTTGAGAAGAGGTGGGACGTCTGTGTTTCTTCTGCTGCCCTACAGACCCTCCGGCAAGCCAAGTGGAACACTCCGGACCTGCTCCCTCTGACTGAGGACGTTAGAGCCATGCATGCACATATTGAGGTATGTCGACCTGAATATGTGCAAACCCTAATAAGTGAGCCAACGTCTAAGCATTGGTCTAAACTGGCAGTTTTGACTCTTTGTGAGGTCATTATTTTCAATCGAAGAAGGGAAGGTGAGGTTTCAAAGATGCCACTGACAGCCTTTACCTTAAGAAGTAAGACTGGGATCCATTCTGACATTGCTCTGGGACTGTCCCAACTTGAGAAATAGCTGTGTCAGCATTTTCAACGCATTGAAATTAAAGGGAAAAGAAGTCGGAAAGTGCCGGTTCTTTTGACTCCTGAAATGATTGCTTCGATGGAGGTGCTGGTGGAGAACAGAAGGGCCTGTTCCATCTCTGACCATAACCCATACTTCTTTTCCCGCCCGGGCGCAGACACCCACATCAGGGGATCAGACTCCCTACGCCAGGTAGCCAAAGAATGTGGTGCGGTGCATCCAGAGATGCTATCCTCAACCAAACTTAGAAAGCACATAGCTACTATGTCTACAGTTCTCAATATGAAAGAGAATGAGATGGACATACTTGCCAACTTCCTCGGCCATGACATTCGCATCCACAGGCAATATTACAGACTACCAGAGGGGACACTGGAGCTGGCCAAAATCAGCAAAGTGTTGATGGCCATGGAGCAGGGAAGAGTGACGCATTTCGAAGGAAAGAGCCTCGACCAGATACAAATTGAGCCTGAAGGTAATTCTTGATATTATTAAAATATGTATGATTTTTTTCCCCTAAAGGCCACTTGTATTTGTATTTTCTGTGCGACAGGGAGAGCAGTAGAGATCCTCTCACAAACGGACGGGCTAAAAGAAACTTCAAGCGGAGAACCTTCAACCATTCATCCAGATGCACCCCATGGTAGTGGCAGTGCCCCTTCTGGTAAGTGTACCAGGTGGGGGATTACAGCCAGGCTGCTTGGTCCTAACCCTGGGAGTGTATATTGCTAATATATTTTTATTTCTCTCCCTAGAACGTGTAAGAAAGCCATGGTCTGCATCTGAGGTGAAGGCTGTGGAGAAGACCATGACACCTTTCATACAGACTGGAAAGGTCCCTGGGAAGTCTCACTGCCTGGCCTGCATTAATGCCTCACCAGATGACCTTAGACATCGGACATGGAGTGGCATTAAATTCTATGTCAAAAATAGAATCACTGCAATTCGAAAAAAAAATCTTAAATAAAATTCCTTTAAAATAGTTGTTTGGTTTCTATTGACTGTTTTGTATTACTTAAAGTAGTCCCAGTAAAAAAAGATTATGTCTATGGGTCCCATTCTGAACGGCCCTGTCAAAGGGACCCACCAGGTAACAAAAACGTGTATGTGTGTGTGTGTGTGTGCCTCTGCTTTGTCCACAACATTTTACTTTGTCGTAATGATGACGAATAAAGTTGTGTACTGCAGTTTTAAGTTCAGTCCAGTTTCAAAGTGTTGTTTGCAGCAATTTCTCTGTTGTTGTCGACTCCATCGCAGCCATCACACTTAAACCCTCTCACTTTAGAACGCCATAACCACGAACCTGCCTCACTTTAGAACGCCATAACCACACGGCAAATTGGATTCACGGCGGAGCAGACGAGATACGAAGGAAGAGAAATGAAATAGAGAAGACACAAACGGTTTGGAGGAAACGTGAGAAGGATCTGAGCCCAGTGCTTTAAGATGCTAACAGGCCGTTTAAGATCTCAGTCCTGGGTCTACAGCCTCAGTCCTGGGTCTACAGCCTCAGTTCCTGGGTCTACAGCCTCAGTTCCTGGGTCTACAGCCTCAGTTCCTGGGTCTACAGCCTAAGTTCCTGGGTCTCAAGTCTCATATCACAATGCAATGAAAGCATGTTTTTGCCTCATTTATAATGACACTGTGAGGCTGACAATGTAATTTAGAACAAACCACAAAAACATTCTTGAGGAAAGAGGGAGGCTTGTTAAACGAGAGGGACTTGTGCTGGAGACATCTGAGAGAAAACCCTGATCTTTGCTGCTTTGTCCTGATGTGGCACCGTTTGAAACCCACTCGTACCAAGCTCTGGGCTCACATCTGTTTGAGGTCTGTGGCTGTGACGGATTTATAGTTATATTCAAAGAAGTTCACACTTAGCTTAGACTTATCCATGTGTAAACTCTGGTCCATGATCATCTCCTACATGTACGTCTGGTCTTACCATGTGTAAACTCTGGTCCATGATCATCTCCTACATGTACGTCTGGTCTTACCATGTGTAAAATCTGGTCCATGGTCATTTCCTACATGTACGTCTGGTCTTACCATGTGTAAACTCTGGTCCATGATCATCTCCTACATGTACGTCTGGTCTTACCATGTGTAAACTCTGGTCCATGATCATTTCCTACATGTACGTCTGGGTCTGATCCTAGTGGCTGCAGTTTCCTCGGTTGAATGCCCTCCGACCAATCAGAGAGTGGGGGAGGCGGGTGTTGTGTTGGTGACGTCAGAGTTTGTGCTGAATTTGCTGGTTGTAGTTTGTCGGAGAATGTGATAGTAAAATAATTTGTTCTGGTTCAATCCAAATATCAAGAAACTGAAGCAAGAGCAAGAGGAATGTTTAGTAAATGTCATTGAAGCAAAGATGTTGTGGCTCTACTCCCCACAGGCTCCGTTAGCTGCAAAGGAGATGGCTAAAGCAAGGCTAAATGCTCATTACATACGTCACAGTAAACTCAGATCCAATGGTTTCAATCTGCAAAAGGAGTTAGCCCTTCCCACCTGTTCACGGAGTCAATGGAGCAAATCCAGACCTTAGTACCAAATGAAATGAGTACCATGGTGCGGTAAGACCAGAAAGTCAGTTGCTAAAGCAAACTGGAGTTTCCCTGCGTCTGATTGGTCAATCTTTTTACGGCTCAAATCTGGATTCATCTTGCAATAAAAAACACCAGGATCACAGCGGGCGTGAAACCAGATTTAAGCCCAAAATGGTGAGTGTGACACAAACGGCTACTGAACTAAGAGTTTACTTTTACATGTGAGTCAGTTGGGCCAGACTTTGACTATGAGCACTTCCCTATTGGGCTTCATTAAGCTAGCAGGTTAACATTATCATCTATTACAGTCTATGTTGCCAGGTTTGAGTCTGTGCAGGAGTTACTGGTGGAGGTTGGGGTCAGCCTTTTAGACCCATGACTATAGTTTCCACTCTGTCTTCCCATTGGTCCAGAGTTGGTTGCATCATCATAACAATAAAAGCCAGCCTTCAAAACAACTACACCAGGATTATATCAATATGTTTTTGTTCAGATCACAGGTTGCCAGTCCAGCCGCCTGTTAGAATCCCTGAGCACCTGCCAAATGCACTTAAACGTTGCCGCAGTGCTGTTCCCGCCGTAACCGCTCGCTCCATCTGTTCCTCGTCCAACATCAGCGAGGAGCCGAGAGGAGATTCCCCGGGTTTCTGATGATGCAGCACATTGCACAAAGTTCCGAGAGCTCCGGCCTCAAAGTCAATGAAGTTTCAGCGCCTTCGAATTAAACTTCTTGGAGTGGAAAAGCGAGAAAGCGAGGCCCCCCGGGGGTTTGAGAGCGGTATTAAAAAACTTAACAGCAACACCTCACGCGTCAATCAAAGGCGGTGTGTGCGTTTGGTTTCAGAGCGGCGAGAAGGCTGCCCATGCAAAAAGACTGGCCCTCCAGCGCTGGAATCCATCTCGGAGAATCGCTGTAGTCATTAAAGGAGATAGTGCGGCGTATGAGAGGAGAGAGAGGCAGGTACACGGCTCAAACAAGACAGCAGCACGACTCACAGGGTAAATGAGGGGATGTTAGCGAGCACAGGTACGGAAAGAGCTCTGTATGTGAGGGTAAAGTGAACGGGACCTTTGCATGACTTTTGGACTTAAAACTAGGGATTGAAACCTCCTCAACACTGAGCGACAGGTGTATGCAAAAGCTGTAAAACTACACACCAGCTACACATTGTCTCTCTGGTCTCTCCCCTCTCTGGTCTCTATCTCTCCCCTCTCTGGTCTCTCTCTCCTCTCTCTGGTCACTCTCTCTGGTCTTTCTATGGTCTCTCGATGGTCTCTCTCTATGGTCTCTCTCTCTGGTCTCTCTCTGGTCTCTCTCTCTCTCTCCTCTCTCTCTGGTCTCTCTCTCTGGTCTCTCTCCTCTCTCTCTGGTCTCTCTCTCTGGTCTCTCTCTCTGGTCTCTCTCTCTGGTCTCTCTCTCTGGTCTCTCTCTCTGGTCTCTCTGGTCTCTCTCTCTGGTCTCTCTCTCGCTGGTCTCTCTCTCGCTGGTCTCTCTCTCTGGTCTCTCTCTTTGGTCTCTCTCTCACTGGTCTCTCTCACTGGTCTCTCTCACTGGTCTCTCTCTCTGGTCTCTCTGGTCTCTCTCTCTGGTCTCTCTCTCTGGTCTCTCTCTCGCTGGTCTCTCTCTCGCTGGTCTCTCTCTCTGGTCTCTCTCGCTGGTCTCTCTCGCTGGTCTCTCTCTTTGGTCTCTCTCTCACTGGTCTCTCTCACTGGTCTCTCTCACTGGTCTCACTGGTCTCTCTCTCTGGTCTCTCTCTCTGGTCTCTCTCTCGCTGGTCTCTCTCTTTGGTCTCTCTCTCTGGTGTCTCTCTGGTCTCTCTCGCTGGTCTCTCTCTGGTGTCTCTGGTGTGTCTCTGGTCTCTCGCTTTGGTGTCTCTCTCACTGGTCTCTCTCACTGGTCTCTCTCTCTGGTCTCTCTCTCACTGGTCTCTCTCTCACTGGTCTCTCTCACTGGTCTCTCTCACTGGTCTCTCTCTGGTCACAGTATATTTTTTAAAATAACAAAGACAGCACCTTCTGATCTGATTGAAGTATTTTCTGTTGGTAAAAACATGTTTTATAAAGGGACTAAAAAGGGACCCGGGCTTTAATATCCTCTTTGATCCAAAACCAGAGACCCCGCTGAGCCCGAGTCCTGCCAAAGTCACGTGACCAGAACCCTCCGGAGAGGCACCTGTTCACAATATGCTCCACACCTTCGATGTGAAGTGAGCGCAGTGACGGCGGGGTGCAGAAGTCTGGACACCCCTTTGCCTTTTTAAGAAATGTAAACGAAACGGGACATGTAAGAAAATACCCATAATCCCCTGGTGCATGAGCTCAGGTCTTATTACCCCACATTAAAGAAGAAAGGAGACTTAGGGGTTTCTCTTTTCTGCATACATACATAAAGATGTGACAAGGGCAAACTGCACGTGATTTCTCTCTCTCTCTCTCTGGTCTCCCTCTAGTTTCTCTCTCTCTCTCTGGTCTCTCTCTCCATCTCTCTCTGGTCTCCCCATATCTGTTTTTACTGCATGATATATCAAAAAAACATGTCACTGCATGCTATATATAAAGTACTGCATGATATGTATTATGTACTGCATGATATATATAAAGTACTGCATGATATATATAAAGTACTGCATGATATGTATTATGTACTGCATGATATATATAAAGTACTGCATGATATATATAAAGTACTGCATGATATGTATTATGTACTGCATGATATGTATTATGTACTGCATGATATATATAAAGTACTGCATGATATCTATTATGTACTGCATGATATGTATAAAGTACTGCATGATATATATAAAGTACTGTATGATATATATAAAGTACTGCATGATATGTATAAAGTACTGCATGATATATATAAAGTACTGCATGATATATATAAAGTACTGCATGATATATATAAAGTACTGTATGATATATATAAAGTACTGCATGATATGTATTATGTACTGCATGATATATATAAAGTACTGCATGATATATATAAAGTACTGCATGATATGTATTATGTACTGCATGATATATATAAAGTACTGCATGATATATATAAAGTACTGCATGATATGTATTATGTACTGCATGATATATATAAAGTACTGCATGATATATATAAAGTACTGCATGATATATATAAAGTACTGCATGATATATATAAAGTACTGCATGATATATATAAAGTACTGCATGATATGTATAAATTACTGCATGATATATATAAAGTACTGCATGATATATATAAAGTACTGCAGTGTTTTATATAAAGTACTGCAGTGTTTGTACCAAATATAGTTTTTTTGCCTCTGCCGTATTTGATTTTGACATCGCTACTGGGTTAGCATTGAGCTAGCGGGTTAGTATTGAGCTAGTGGGTTAGCATTGACCTAGCGGGTTAGCATTGAGCTAGTGGCTTAGTATTGAGCTAGTGGGTTAGTATTGAGCTAGCGGGTTAGCATTGACCTAGCGGGTTAGTATTGAGCTAGCGGGTTAGCATTGACCTAGCGGGTTAGTATTGAGCTAGCGGGTTAGCATTGACCTAGCGGGTTAGTATTGAGCTAGCGGGTTAGCATTGAGCTAGTGGGTTAGTATTGAGCTAGCGGGTTAGCATTGACCTAGCGGGTTAGTATTGACCTAGCGGGTTAGTATTGAGCTAGCGGGTTAGCATTGACCTAGCGGGTTAGTATTGACCTAGCGGGTGTAGATTCGTGAATAAGAATCAGTCCATTGGCCGTGCGTAATAAGCTTTTTATTAGCAGCTAACATGAACATGTGGTCTAGACTGCAGTCAGGCATGAACCCCCGCCCCCCGGGTAACTCAACCCTGACACCTACTGTTCACTCCCGGTAACTGGGGTAAGGTAAGCAATAAGGACAATCTAAATGTGACACTTATTATAACATTGTCTACATCCCTCCTTTTAACTTTTTTGCATAGGGCAAATAGTGAATAAAACTTAGCATCTATCAATTCACACTTAAACAGGGATAAACCTTTGTGTCAATTGTAACATAAAATTTTTCAATAAAATAAACATTGTGAAAACTCTGTATACTCTGGGTCTTTTCTAATCTGAGTATTTGCTGTTTGGTTTAGACACTCTACCATATCTGGTTCGGTACATGTTATCACATTTCACAGGAGTTTTTACAGGTGGGTCATTCAGTGTAACGTTGTCATACATTTTCTGTTCACATTGTTTTTTGTCTTGTATTGGTTTTACGTTCTCAGTCATTTCGCGTGCGTCACTTTGTGTTTTCTCAGTCTCTGATTTGTCTTCATGTTGATACATATCAGTCTCGTTTGACTGTGGAGTGACTGGATCCGGATGTGGTTCGTTTACAGGCAGAATGTGTTGCCTGTTGCGTCTGTATTGTTTCCCATCTGACTCGACAACATAGGAACGAGGTTCAGTACAGACTCTGCGTATGACTCCAATCTTGTCATGTCCTTTTTGTGTTTGTAATCTCACCACCTGGTTTTGTGTTAGAGGAGTGAGTGGCTTACTTGACTTGTCAAAATGTTGTTTTTGGGCTTTGCGCTTTTTTGTGAGCTGGGCTTTGATGGTTGTTGTCGCCTTCGCTGCTGGTTTTAACATTGTTTTACAAACGGGAAGAGTGGACCGCGTTCTCCTGGAAAACAGTCTTTGGGCTGGTGATCCAAGGATGTTATCTCGTGGAGTGTTTCGTAGATGGAGAAGGTTCAAGTAGAAATCGGTCCCGTCCCTTTTTGTTGTCTCAAGAAGTCTCTTTGCACTTGGAACAGCTCTCTCACTGAGGCCGTTTGACTGAAGGAACTCAGGGCTGCTCGTGACATGTTCAAACTCCCAGGATGTAACAAAATCGCGGAATGTTTGACTTGTGAACTGTGTTCCGTTATCGGAGTACAGTTTCTCTGGTATTCCGTGAACAGAGAAGTTTCGTTTCAGTTTTTTGATCACACACGCTGAGGTGATGTTTTCAAGTCTGTCCACTTCAAACCACCCAGAATAGGAATCAACAAGCACGAGATAGTAGTTGTTGTCCCACTCGAATATGTCTGTGGCAGTGATGGACCATGGGAGATCCGGAATGTAATGATGTTTTAGAGGTTGCCTTTGTTGGTGAGGTTTTAGGCTGTTACACACACCGCATGATTTTACCTTTTCCTCAATGTCCCTGTTTATGGTGAGCCAGAAAACGGTGTCCCTTGCTCTCCTTTTTGTAGACTCCATGCCTGGATGTCCTCTGTGCAGCTCCTGCAAATACACATCCTGCAGCGCAGCTGGAACAATGACTCTGTTATTTTTCATTACAACATTGTTATCAACAAAAAGTTCATCACGAATGTTGAAGAAAGGTTTTATTGTTTCCGGTACACTGCTCACTCGTGCTGGCCACCCCAGCTGAATGTAGTGAATCAGTGTTTGCAGAGTAGTATCAGCTCTCGTTTGCTCGGCAAGCTCTTGCAAACGTTGTGAAGAAATGAGCTGAATTGACATTACCTCAAAGTCATGTTTTTCTTCCTGCAGCGGTGGAGTATCCACTTTTGGTGTGCGAGAGAGTGTGTCTGCAATGTAGAGGTGTTTACCTTTCTTGTAGACAAGAGTCATGTTGAACTTTTGTAGTCTCAGCATCATTCTTTGCAGTCGTGCAGGGACTGTGTGAAAGGGCTTATTCTGGATTGTGACCAGCGGCTGGTGGTCAGTTTCAATCACGACTGGCTTTCCATAGATGTAGTCGTAGAATTTGTAACACGCAAACACAACTGCGAGTAACTCCTTCTCGATCTGTGCGTACCTTCTTTCCGTGTCGGTCAGAGTACGTGATGCGTACGCGACGGGTTTGTTGTCCTGTAGACAGGCAGCTCCGAGACCGTATTGAGAAGCGTCGCAGGTGAGGGTCACTGGTTTTTGCATGTCGTAATACTGGAGAATTGGTGGGCTTGTGATGCATGCTTTAAGTTTGCGGAAAGCATCCTCCTGATGTTGAGTCCAACTCCACACCACGTCCTTATGGAGCAGTTGGCGTAATGGTGCTGACAGTTCACTCAAGTTCGGAATGAACTTACCTAGGTAGTTGATCATACCTAGGAAACGCTGAAGATAAGCCTTGTCTTCAGGTGAGTGCATGTCATTGATTGCAGCCATTTTGGTTGGGTCTGCCTTGAGTCCAATGTTAGTGAAGATGTGCCCAACATAACTCACTTCATTGAGCCTGAATCTGCACTTTTTTCTAGTCAGTCTTAATTTCACTTGTCTGGCGCGTTCCATAACTTTCTTGAGATTTATGCCGTGTTCCACAATTCCTTTACCTCCAACCAAGATGTCATCGACGATGATCGCACATGGATATCCTGCAAATATCTGTTCCATGGCTTTTTGGAATACTTCAGAGGCTGTGTTGATACCAAATGGCATTCTCAGAAACTTAAATCTGCCAAATGGCGTGGCAAATGTGGTGAGTAGTGAGGAAGCGTCATCTAGTTTGATTTGCCAGAACGAACTTTTTGCGTCCAACACAGAGAAGACTGTTGCTCCTGACATTTGTGCCGCTACTTCCTCCACTGTGCGCATGGGATGGTGTGGTCTCATTAACGACTTGTTTAGGTCTCTCGGGTCGATGCAGAGACGCACATCATCAGCTTCCTTCTTGTGCGTAGCCACCATGTTTGACACCCATTCAGTTGGCTCCTCCACCGGTTCAATTACACCAAGTTGCTGCATTCTTTTGAGCTCTTTTTTCACTTTGTCTTGCATAGGCACTGGGATGCGTCGTGGAGGATTGACAACTGGTATGGCATTTGGAGCGAATTTCATTGAGTATGTGACAGGTAGATCACCGACTTCATCTTTGAATAAGTCCTGATACTCAAAAAACACCTCCTGTTCGATGCTTGAATCATGAGGAGCAGTGTCAATATGGAAAACGTCTTTGCTGAACGTGACCAGTTTCATTTTCACACTATCCTTCATTCCCAGGATGGACTGTACATTTTGTTTCACAACATGGAAAAGTAAGTCGTAGGTCTTCTTGGCGACAGTGCATTTGACAGTAACTGTGCCTGCCGACTTGATCTTTGTCCCGCCGAAAGCAATGAGATTTGTCTGCTTGTCGGATTTTTGCAGTGTGTCTCTTTGGCAAAAGTCTTTGTACGTATCCAGTGAAATCACGTTGCATTTAGCTCCTGTGTCAACTTTGAGCTTTAGATCTTTATCATTTACAGTCACTGTGCAGTATCCTTCTTTCTTTGTGCTCTCCTCGCCGTCGAGTGTCAAATGTTCAATAGTAAACGTGTCTTCGTCACTTTCACTGTCAACCTCTGAGATTTGGTTCACTTGTTTGTGCCTGGGATGTGGCCTTGCTGACCTGCATTGACTTTTGAAATGATTGTATTTCTTGCAGATGTGACATTGTTGTCCAAATGCAGGGCATTGCTCACGTTTGGCTGGATGTGAACCACCACAGTTTTTGCAATTTAAAATACCTGTGGAAATGCCCTCTTGTTTTTTCCTGTATTTGTTGGCATTTTTTGGAGTGTAATGTTTTATTTGAACAGCGTCCACACTGGCAGAAGTCACGTGTTTTGGAGTAGAAAGGGCTTTAGTGTGCTGGTCAGTGAGCTCGCTTATTTGACAAATGCGAACTGCTTTTATGAGAGTTAATTCAGTTTCTTTGAGCAGGGAGCGCCTCACGCTGTCACTGCTGACACCGCAAACTAATCTGTCCCTTATTAGTTCGTCTTGCAATGCGCCAAAGTTGCACGTTTTAGCCATGATTCTCAATGTACTAACATAAGCCTCGACGGTTTCTCCTGGTTTCTGTTGCCTTTTGTTGAAGTTGTGTCTCTCCATTAATGACATTTGTTTCGGGATTGCATATTTCCTTGAACTTTCTTTTCAAACACACTGGGTCTTCTCTTGACTCTGCAGCTGTTACGACGGCACCGTCTGCTCCGAGTACCGCAGGTGCATATGTGAATGAACGCTCTCTTTCTATTGCCTCTGGTCCCGCCAGATTGAGGAGTATGTAGGCTCTAGTTTTAGCGTTTTTATCACTGTGGGCTGCGGCTATGAATATATCATATTCTTGCTCGAACTTACGCCAGTTTTCAGCAACATTGCCGTCAAATGTGAGAGGATCTGGTCGTCGGAATCCGTCCGCCATTGTACATGCGTTTCTGCTGAGATCAGATTTTTCTTTTTTTCTTTACCAGCTCTGGTTGTCTTCATGAGCTGTGCAGTCTTTGTGATGAATCCCACTTCTGACACCATGTAGATTCGTGAATAAGAATCAGTCCATTGGCCGTGCGTAATAAGCTTTTTATTAGCAGCTAACATGAACATGTGGTCTAGACTGCAGTCAGGCATGAACCCCCGCCCCCCGGGTAACTCAACCCTGACACCTACTGTTCACTCCCGGTAACTGGGGTAAGGTAAGCAATAAGGACAATCTAAATGTGACACTTATTATAACATTGTCTACAGCGGGTTAGTATTGAGCTAGCGGGTTAGCATTGACCTAGCGGGTTAGTATTGAGCTAGTGGGTTAGCCTCGAGCTAGCGGGTTAGCATTGTCCGTGTGTAAACAGTTTGCACTTATTGAAACAGAGGAAACAGAAACCAGTGATGAAAGACGGAAGTTACACCCAACAATGTGTGTGTGTGTGTGTGTGTGTGTGTGTGTCTGTGTGTGTGTGTGTGTGTGTGTATATGTATGTGTCTGTGTGTGTATGTGTGTGTGTGTGTCTGTGTGTCTGTGAGTGTGTGTGTGTGTGTGTGTGTCTGTGTGTGTGTGTGTGTCTGTGTGTGTGTGTGTGTCTGTTTGTGTGTCTCTGTATGTGTGTCTGTGTGTGTGTGTGTCTGTGTGTATGTCTGTGTGTGTCTGTTTGTGTGTCTCTGTATGTGTGTCTGTGTGTGTGTGTGTGTCTGTGTGTGTGAGTGTGTCTGTTTGTGTGTCTCTGTATGTGTGTCTGTGTGTGTGTGTCTGTGTGTGTGTGTGTCTGTGTGTGTGAGTGTGTCTGTGTGTGTGTGTCTGTGTGTGTGAGTGTGTCTGTGAGTGTGTCTGTTTGTGTGTCTCTGTATGTGTGTCTGTGTGTGTGTGTCTGTGTGTGTATGTGCGTACCGGCTGCAGTCCTCAGGCTGTAGACCCAGTCCTGGTCCTGGTCCTGGTCCTGGTCCTGGTCCAGGTCAGAGCAGTGCAGCAGTGAGTGACTCTGCAGGAGGCCGTTGAGGAAACAGAACACTGCGGCTGAGACCACGATGAGCAGAGGGACCGGCCGAGCTCCACGGATCAGACTGGGGTAGACCAGGGACCTGTGCAGAAGACCGGGGCCAAGACTGAGTCCAAGGCCGAGTCCCAGGCCTAGTCTCAGGCCGAGTCCCAGTCCGAGTCCCATGCCGAGTCCCAGTCCGAGTCCCAGTCCGAGTCCCAGGCCTAGTCGCAGGCCGAGTCCCAATCCGAGTCCCAGTCCGAGTCCCAGGCCAAGGTCAAAACTGAGGCCAAGGCCGAGTCCTCGTTCTACAGTCTGACTCCTGCACCATACCATGTGGTCTCTATCTCTGTGTTTGATTTTCTGATCTGTTGTTGGAGAATCGACAGTTCGGTCTCTCTCTGGTCTCTCTCTGGTCTCTCTCTGGTCTCTCTCCGGTCTCTCTCTGGTCTCTCTCTGGTCTCTCTCCGGTCTCTCTCTGGTCTCTCTCTGGTCTCTCTCTGGTCTCTCTCTGGTCTCTCTCCGGTCTCTCTCTGGTCTCTCTCTGGTCTCTCTCTGGTCTCTCTCTCTCTCTGGTCTCTCTTCGGTCTCTCTCTGGTCTCTCTCCGGTCTCTCTCTGGTCTCTCTCTGGTCTCTCTCTGGTCTCTCTCCGGTCTCTCTCTGGTCTCTCTCTGGTCTCTCTCCGGTCTCTCTCTCGTACCACAGTAAAGGCCTCTAAACCAGGTCTAAACCAGGTCTAAACCAGGTCTAAACAAAGTTTTAAAGTCATTGTGTCTCAGTGACTCATGTATGTTATTATCTCCGCCCTCAGACTGACAAGTCTGGATCTGTCCACAGAGGGCACTGAACCCGGTCTGGACCAGGTCTGGACCAGGTCTGGACCCGGTCTGGACAAGGATGGAACTAGGACTGAACCAGGTCTGTACCAGACCCGGGTCTGGACCAGGATTGAATCAGGGTTGAACCAGGCCTGCAGGTCTTGACCCAGTCTGGACCAGGTCTGAACCCGGTCTGGACCAGGCTGGTCCCTCTAGAAGCAGTTTTGCTCAAAAGCACTAACTCAAATGTCCAGGCCAGAATCGAACACTGACTCTTTGTGACGTGAGTGCGCGTGCTCGTACCTGTGGAAATAGTGCAGCGTGAACGTGCACAGTAGCAGCATCCTGCCGTGCGCGCTCCCGTCAGTCAGGGACGCCATCAGCGTGGGCACGAGGAAGGCTGGCAGCTCCTGCAGGAACCAGGCCCAACGTGCGTGCACGGTGCGCGTGCCCGGTGTGCTGTAGCGGCCGTAGAGCGCGGGACCGCGCTTCAGCTGCTGAAATAGAAAGAGCGCGCCCCCGAGTATCAGGAGCACGCAGAGCGCGTGCACGAGCCCGCGCTCACATTCCATCAGTTCAGAGTGAGATGAGGAGCGCGAGGACAGCGCTTTAAATACACCGGGGGCGGGGCCATGTGACGTCACCTCGATCTGGCGACAATGGGGCGCGTGACTTTCATAACATCAGGACCAGGACATGGACCAGGACCAGGACATGGACCAGGACCAGGACATGGACCAGGACCAGGACATGGACCAGAACGTAAAATCTTTTGAGTAAATGACCCAAAACCAAAAGTGAATATATTTGATAGAATAAAGTCCATATAAAGTGTTTCAGAACCATGTGAGCAGAGGGTCCGCTTCTGGTCAGGGCCTAAAACCATCAAAGCTGTTGGACCAGAAAAATAAACATGTTTTATTTATGTTGTATTTGATGTGTTTGGATTCAACCAGAAGTGGATCAAACGTATGTCAGGATGTATAACAGGTCAATACCATCAACACTGTGAGTATAACAGGTCAATACCATCAACACTGTGAGTATAACAGGTCAATACCATCAACACTGTGAGTATAACAGGTCAATACCATCAACACTGTGAGTATAATAGGTCAATACCATCAACACTGTGAGTATAACAGGTCAATACCATCAACACTGTGAGTATAACAGGTCAATACCATCAACACTGTGAGTATAACAGGTCAATACCATCAACACTGTGAGTATAACAGGTCAATACCATCAACACTGTGAGTATAACAGGTCAATACCATCAACACTGTGAGTATAACAGGTCAATACCATCAACACTGTGACTGTACAACGAGAATGTGTAACAGGAACTGCTGAGTCACAAGTGTCACTGATAATTTACAAGTAACTTTACTGTTATCAGTACTACTGCAGTACTACATATCTGATATTTACTGTTATCAGTACTGCTGCAGTACTACATATCTGATATTTACTGTTATCAGTACTACTGCAGTACTACATATCTGATATTTACTGTTATCAGTACTACTGCAGTACTACATATCTGATATTACTGTTATCAGTACTACTACAGTACTACATATCTGATATTTACTGTTATCAGTACTACATATCTGATATTACTGTTATCAGTACTACTGCAGTACTACAGTACTACTGCAGTACTACATATCTGATATTACTGTTATCAGTACTACTGCAGTACTACATATCTGATATTTACTGTTATCAGTACTACTGCAGTACTACATATCTGATATTTACTGTTATCAGTACTACTGCAGTACAACATATCTGATATTTCTGCCTTTCACCGTCACTTTACCTGTTGATATGATTTCTGATGTTTATTCTGCTCATATTCTCATATTCTCCGCGGCTAATGTATAATATAGACATCTGTAAATACTCCGAACCAAGTGCAATTATAGCCCAGAGTTGATCTTATTTTATTTTATTTTTATCTTATAATTTTATTGTCTATTATCTTAAATAACAGACTTATTTGTGCGTCTGAGTCTTATGTCCTCTCTGCTGTAAAGTGCAACGATGACACTGACATTTCTCCACTGTGAGACTAATAAAGGTTTATCTTATCTTAAAACTGGTCATCACCATCAACACTGTGAGTATTACAGACCATGGTCTCTCAGTACCATGACACTGGTCCGAGGGCCGGGTTTAGCCCCTGGGCCTGAGTTTGTTCCTGTAACTGATGAAAAACAGATTTAAGCCGAGTCAATATCAGAGCTGTGCAGCTTTAGAGCTCATGTTAAATTCAAGTTTTAAAACAAGTTTACCTCAAAGTCAAACAATAGACTGTCGCCAACGGAAACAGTCGTTTGTAACGGTAGACCGGGTCACATTTACAACAGACCGGGTCTCATTTACCGGGAGAGACTGTGTACTCTGTTGTGGATCAGGTCTCAAGTGTGTCCTCTGTTGTGGATCAGGTCTAGAGTATGTCCTCTGTTGTGGATCAGGTCTAGAGTGTGTCCTCTGTTGTGGAGCAGGTTTAGAGTGTATCCTCTGTGGAGAATAGGTATATGTTAAACCGAACAGAATATTCTCTGTGTTTTCTCTACATTAACATGAAAAACATGAAAAGATTTTTTTTTACAAAGTGATTTTATTCGGTTTTTATTCAGGTTTCTCTCACACGAGCCCTGAGTCTTTCACTCAGTGCAGACGATTTAAATACAAATAATGAGATAAAAGCAAAACTTTGAAGAGAGAGACCAGAGGAAGAGAGAGAGTCTAAAGAGAGAAACCAAAGAGAGAGAGACAGAGAGTGAGAGCAGAAAGAGACCACAGAGAGAGAAAGAAAAAGAGAGAGGGGGTCTAAAGAGAGAAACCAGAGAGAGATAGTCAGAGAGAGAGACAGAGAGACACTAGAGAGTGAGTGCAGAAAGAGACCAAACACAGAGAGAGAGACCAGAGAAAGAGACACCCACACACAAACACACAGAAAAAGAGACAGAGAGAGACCACAGAGAGACAAGAGAGAGACCAGAAAGAGACCAGAGATCTATCAAGACTTCATTTCTTTAGTAAGTACATTGTTGTGGCAGAGGTTCTCAGACCTGCAGGTGGCGCCATCCTGTTTATTCATACGTCTCATTTACAAACAAAAACAAGCACTTCTGGGTTGTTTTCATTGTTTACTTTCTCAGTTAGAATGAGTTGTAGGTGATTAACCCTGGAGGTGAGAGTACGACATTACAGCTTGGTTGTTGTCCTTTGTTGTGGATCGGGTCTAGAGTGTGTCCTTTGTTGTGACCGGGTCTAGAGTGTGTCCTTTGTTGTGACCAGGACTAGAGTGTGTCCTCTTCCGTGAGTTATTTTGAACTTTTTACACATTCTCACATTTTAGTTGATGATTAAAGGGAGGAAACTGGTATTTGTTGTGTGTCTGTAGTGTGTGTGTGTTTGAGTCCTCAGGAGCCCTGTACGTGGCAATTTGGCTCCAGTGTATGTGTGTGTCTCTAATATATGTGCATGTGTGTATCTGTAGTTTATGTGTGTTTGTGTGTGTCTGCAGTATTTGTATATATATGTGGTTGTGTGTTTGTGTTGTTGTGTGTATGCATGTATGTTTGTCTGCAGTTTGTGTGTGAGTCCTCAGAAGCCCTGCACGTGGCAGTAAGCCTCCAGAGATGAGAAGATGATGTAGAGGAGCCAGAGGCTGAAGAACAGAGCTGAAGTGAGGGCCTTGGGCCCCCGGGGGCCCCCAAGCTCCCCCCCCACAGAGGGCCGGCGCCGCCACACCAACACCGCGATGCAGACGAAGGCGAAGACGGTAAAGAGCGTGACGGAGAAGGCCAGAGTCCCAGGGTCCACCTTAAACTGCTCCCCTCTCCACCAGTGCACCACAGCGGCAATGGACCAGGCCACGCCGATGCCCAAGAACACGTTCACCGCATTGGACCCCGTCACGTTCCCGATGGACGCATCCGCAAACTGGTCCTGCACCGCGGCTACTTTACTGGCAAAGGTGTCTGAGACAGAGGACGGAGAACAGAGAGGACAGGGGACAGAGGAGAAAGGAGAGAGAACAGAGAGGACAGGGGACAGAGGACAGAGGAGAGAGGACAGAGGAGAGAGGAGAGAGGACAGTGGAGAGAGGACAGAGGACATAGTAGAGAGGAGAGAGGACAGAGGACAGAGGAGAGAGGACAGAGGACATAGTAGAGAGGAGAAAGGAGAGAGGACAGAGGACAGAGGACAGAGTAGAGAGGAGAGAGGACAGAGGAGAGAGGAAAGAGTAGAGAGGAGAGAGGACAGAGGACAGAGGATAGAGGAGAGAGGACAGAGGACAGAGGATAGAGGAGAGAGGACAGAGGAGAGAGGAGAGAGGACAGAGGACAGAGGACAGAGGACAGAGGAGAGAGAAGAGAGGACAGAGGACAGAGGTCAGAGGACAGAGGAGAGAGGGGGGACAAAATAGCATGTGTATTAGAAAACCGATCACCTGGAACAATCCTCACAAAAAGTCACATCAACTCTCTCTCTCTGGTCTCTCTCTGGTCTCTCTCTGGTCTCTCTCTGGTCCCTCTCTGGTCTCTCTCTGGTCTCTCCCCCCTCTCTCCCTGGTCTCTCTCTGGTCCCCTCTCTCTCCCCTCTCTCTCTGGTCTCTCTCTCTCCCCTCTCTCTCTGGTCTCTCTCTGGCCTCTCTCTGGCCTCTCTCTGGCCTCTCTCTGGTCTCTCTCTGGTCTCTCTCCCCTCTCTCTCCCCTCTCTCTCCCCTCTCTCTCTGGTCTCTCTCTGGTCTCTCTCTGGCCTCTCTCTGGTCTCTCTCTGGTCTCTCTCCCCTCTCTCTCCCCTCTCTCTCTGGTCTCTCTCTGGTCTCTCTCTGGTCTCTCTCTGGTCTCTCTCTGGTCTCTCCCCCCTCTCTCTCCCCTCTCTCTCTGGTCTCTCCCCCCTCTCTCTCCCCTCTCTCTCTGGTCTCTCTCTGGCCTCTCTCTGGTCCCTCTCTGGTCTCTCACCTGGTACAGACGTCCCCAGCGCCACAAACACCACAGCGGTGACCGAGTCCTTGAGGCCCACGGTGCAGCCGAAGTGCGAGGCGAGGTCCCCGATGAGGGCCGTGAGGAGCCCGATACCACAGATTGAGACGCAGAAGCAGGGCCAGCCGCTGAGGTAGTCCGTGGGCGGGACCAGAGCGAACAGAACCTTCCACAGCAGCGTCAGGAAGTGCATCAGGTAGTCACAGCAGGAGGGCGGCCCGTCCGAGTCCTCTCCTGCTGCGGGACATCACAACACATCCAGAGAGCGAGAGTTTCACGAGGAGGTGGAGGGTAAAAAGTGTCCTGGAGACTATGTGTCAGAAAGTAACAGCTATGGTCTCTCTCTCTGGTCTCTCTTTGGTCTCTCTCTGGTCTCTCTCTCTGGTCTCTCTTTGGTCTCTCTCTGGTCTCTCTCTCTGGTCTCTCTCTGGTCTCACTCTTGTCTCTCTCTGGTCTCTCTCTGGTCTCTCTCTGGTCTCACTCTTGTCTCTCTCTGGTCTCTCTCTGGTCTCTCTCTGGTCTCACTCTTGTCTCTCTCTGGTCTCTCTCTGGTCTCTCTCTGGTCTCTCTCTGGTCTCTCTCTCTGGTCTTTCTCTGGTCTCTCTCTGGTCGCTCTTTGGTCTCTCTCTGGTCTCACTCTGGTCTCACTCTGGTCTCTCTCTGGTCTCTCTCTGGTCTCTCTCTGGTCTCTCTCTGGTCGCTCTTTGGTCTCTCTCTGGTCTCTCTCTGGTCTCTCTCTGGTCGCTCTTTGGTCTCTCTCTGGTCTCTCTCTGGTCGCTCTTTGGTCTCTCTCTGGTCTCAGGGTGCTTTCACACCTGTTGGTTCAGTAAAGTGGTTCGCTTGGGCCCTAAAGTTGTTACAATGTTGCAGTTCTCAACTAGTTTGGTTCTCATTCACACCAGTGTTTTTGCAAACGAACCAACCACTGTGGATGTTACATATTCTGCCCATGTGGTGGCGCTGTTCACAAAATACTGTGTATTGGATGATGTATGTGAAACCTCATTGGTGAAGGATGTGAAGAGGGAAGAATACCAGAAGAAAACAAACTTGTCAGATCCTTAACGATGAACTTTGCTACTCTAGTGTGAGGCTATTTTTTTATCATCAATGCTTTGTGCAGCACAAATACTGCAGTTGTTCCAGTTTCAGTTTGTATCACAGATTCAGCACGAGAACACTCTGCGGCTGTTTTTGACTATTCTATCATATAAAAAAACACAATGTGTGTCAAAAAGTGAGCTACACAACAGAGCAGGGCCATATCGAGGCGGTTCAGTGTTCTCACCAGCAGCAAACCAGACTGGAGTCCACATGGAACCGTACCGAGACCAGCTCCCTAAGGTGGTCTCGGTACGGTTCTTTAGTCCGGACCAAATTTAACTGGTCCACTTTCACACCTGCTCAAACGAACCGTACTTGCAGGTGTTCCAAACTCCAGTCCATTTTAAGTGGACTAAATGGTGCAGGTGTGAAAGCACCCTCACTCTTGTCTCTCTCTGGTCTCTCTCTCGGGTCTCTCTCTGGTCTCTCTCTGGTCTCTCTCTGGTCTCTCTCTGGTCTCTCTCTGGTCTCTCTCTGGTCTCTCTATGGTCTCTCTCTGGTCTCCCTCTTGTCTCCCTCTTGTCTCCCTCTGGTCTCCCCATGGTCTCCCTCTGGTCTCCCTCTGGTCTCCCTCTGGTCTCTGACCTGAGCTGACATTGATGGCTTCCACAAACTGCTGCCTCCAGCTGTTGGTGCCGATGAGCAGAGCCAGGTTTGTCTTCTTTATGAGTTTGTCCACAGTGTTCTGTAGAGAGAGAACAGAGTGAGACCAGAGAGGGACCAGAGTGAGACCAGAGAGGGACCAGAGAGAGACCAGAGAGAGACCAGAGAGAGACCAGAGAGAGACCAGAGAGAGACCAGAGAGAGACCAGAGAGAGACCAGAGAGAGAGAACAGAGAGAGAGACCAGAGTGAGACCAGAGAGAGACCAGAGTGAGACCAGAGAGGGACCAGAGAGGGACCAGAGAGGGACCAGAGAGAGACCAGAGAGAGACCAGAGTGAGACCAGAGAGAGACCAGAGTGAGACCAGAGAGACACCAGAGAGAGACCAGAGAGAGAGACTAGAGAGAGACAGAGTGAGACCAGAGAGGGACCAGAGTGAGACCAGAGAGACACCAGAGAGAGACCAGTGAGAGAACCGACCAGAGAGAGACCAGAGAGAGACCAGAGAGAGATCTCTGGTCTGAGAGGCGCATGAGCAGAGGTGGGACAGTTTAGCTCCCATTGAAAACCATGTAAAGTCTGTTTTGGAGCCAAAGGCTCTCCTTCTGTGCTCTGTACGGTTGTTGGAACAGTCTGGGACACTCTGGGACACTCAATTCTAAGGAAGTACTAACAAATATTTCTCAAAAGAGAATACTCTTTTGAGACCAGTATTCTCAAAAGAGAATACTGGTCTCACTCTGGTCTCACTCTGGTCTCTCTGGTCTCACTCTGGTCTCTCTGGTCTCACTCTGGTCTCACTCTGGTCTCACTCTGGTCTCACTCTGGTCTCTCTGGTCTCACTCTGGTCTCTCTGGTCTCACTCTGGTCTCTCTGGTCTCTCTGGTCTCTCTGGTCTCTCTGGTCTCTCTGGTCTCTCTGGTCTCTCTCTGGTCTCACTCTGGTCTCTCTGGTCTCTCTCTGGTCTCTCTCTGGTCTCACTCTGGTCTCTCTGGTCTCACTCTGGTCTCTCTGGTCTCACTCTGGTCGAGGTATAGAGACTTTTACCTTAAACTCGTAGGACTCCTCGATGGTCACCTCCAAACGACTGTTTTCTCCCAAAGACGGACGTCCCATTTCTGCAACTCTGCTCTGCTCCAACGACCAGTCTGAGAGAGAAGACTAAACCAGGTCTAAAGCAGGTCTAAAGCAGGTCTAAAGCAGGTCTAAAGCAGGGCTAAACCAGGTCTAAAGCAGGACTAAAGCAGGCCTAAACCAGGTCTAAAGCAGGACTAAAGCAGGACTAAAGCAGGACTAAAGCAGGTCTAAAGCAGGACTAAAGCAGGTCTAAAGCAGGACTAAAGCAGGACTAAAGCAGGACTAAAGCAGGACTAAAGCAGGTCTAAAGCAGGACTAAAGCAGGACTAAAGCAGGACTAAAGCATGACTAAAGCATGACTAAAGCAGGTCTAAAGCAGGTCTAAATCAGGACTAAAGCAGGTCTAAAGCAGGTCTAAAGCAGGACTAAAGCAGGACTAAAGCAGGTCTAAAGCAGGACTAAAGCAGGACTAAAGCAGGTCTAAAGCAGGACTAAAGCAGGACTAAAGCAGGACTAAGGCAGGTCTTGTACCTGTGATGCAGATGGTAGAGGGTGTTTCTCGTCCCTGTACTTTCCTGTACAAGTCTTTCCCTGAACACAGAACATGTGACATCACTCTTTTCTAGTAAATAAATGATTATGTAATTCTGAATGTGTGTTCCTTAAATCACCACCAGAGGGATTGATTAAAGCTGAGGGTCCTGACTTTAGAAAGACCTGTGTAGTTCTGCCATGCTCCACCAGAGGCTCCACCAGAGGCTCCTCCAGAGGCTCCACCAGAGGCTCCACCAGAGGCTCCACCAGAGGCTCCACCAGAGGCTCCACCAGAGGCTCCACCAGAGGCTCCACCAGAGGCTCCAGAGGCTCCACCAGAGGCTCCACCAGAGGCTCCAGAGGCTCCACCAGAGGCTCCACCAGAGGCTCCAGAGGCTCCAGAGGCTCCACCAGAGGCTCCAGAGGCTTCTCCAGGGGCTCCTCCAGAGGCTCCACCAGAGGCTCCACCAGAGGCTCCTCCAGAGGCTCCACCAGAGGCTCCAGAAGCTCCACCAGGGCTCCTCCAGAGGCTCCAGAGGCTTCTCCAGAGGCTCCACCAGAGGCTCCACCAGAGGCTCTTCCAGAGGCTCCACCAGAGGCTCCACCAGAGGCTCCACCAGAGGCTCCTCCAGAGGCTCCTCCAGAGGCTCCACCAGAGGCTCCACCAGAGGCTCCACCAGAGGCTCCACCAGAGGCTCCTCCAGGGGCTCCTCCAGAGGCTCCTCCAGAGGCTCCTCCAGGGGCTCCTCCAGAGGCTCCACCAGAGGCTCCTCCAGAGGCTCCACCAGAGGCTCCTCCGGAGGCTCCACCAGAGGCTCCACCAGAGGCTCCTCCAGAGGCTCCACCAGAGGCTCCAGAGGCTCCTCCAGAGGCTCCACCAGAGGCTCCAGAGGCTCCACCAGAGGCTCCTCCAGAGGCTCCACCAGAGGCTCCAGAGGCTCCACCAGAAGCTCCACCAGAGGCTCCACCAGAGGCTCCTCCAGAGGCTCCAGAGGCTCTCCAGAGGCTCCACCAGAGGCTCCAGAGGCTCCACCAGAAAGCTCCACCAGAGGCTCCACCAGAGGCTCCAGAAGCTCCACCAGAGGCTCCAGAGGCTCCACCAGAAGCTCCACCAGAGACTCTGTCAGAGGCTCTGTCAGGTGGCTCCTCCAGAGGCTTCTCCAGAGGCTCCTCCAGAGGCTCCACCAGAGGCTCCTCCAGAGGCTCCTCCAGAGGCTCCACCAGAGGCTCCAGAGGCTCCAGAGGCTCCACCAGAAGCTCCACCAGAGGCTCCACCAGAGGCTCCACCAGAGGCTCCTCCAGAGGCTCCACCAGAGGCTCCTCCAGAGGCTCCTCCAGAGGCTCCACCAGAGGCTCCACCAGAGGCTCCACCAGAGGCTCCACCAGAGGCTCCACCAGGGGCTCCTCCAGAGGCTCTAGAGGCTCCACCAGAGGCTCCACCAGAGGCTCCACCAGAAGCTCCACCAGAGGCTCCACCAGAGGCTCCACCAGAGGCTCCTCCAGAGGCTCCTCCAGAGGCTCCTCCAGAGGCTCCACCAGAGGCTCCACCAGAGGCTCCACCAGGGGCTCCTCCAGAGGCTCTAGAGGCTCCACCAGAGGCTCCACCAGAGGCTCCACCAGAAGCTCCACCAGAGGCTCCACCAGAGGCTCCACCAGAGGCTCCTCCAGAGGCTCCTCCAGAGGCTCCACCAGAGGCTCCTCCAGAGGCTCCACCAGAGGCTCCACCAGAGGCTCCACCAGAGGCTCCACCAGAGGCTCCTCCAGAGGCTCTTCCAGAGGCTCCACCAGAGGCTCCTCCAGAGGCTCCTCCAGAGGCTCCACCAGAGGCTCCTCCAGAGGCTCCACCAGAGGCTCCACCAGAGGCTCCACCAGAGGCTCCAGAGGCTCCAGAGGCTCCTCCAGAGGCTCCACCAGAGGCTCCTCCAGAGGCTCCACCAGAGGCTCCTCCAGAGGCTCCACCAGAGGCTCCACCAGAGGCTCCACCAGAGGCTCCACCAGAGGCTCCTCCAGAGGCTCCACCAGAGGCTCCTCCAGAGGCTCCATCAGAGGCTCCTCCAGAGGCTCCACCAGAGCCTCCACCAGAGGCTCCACCAGAGGCTCCTCCAGAGGCTCCTCCAGAGGCTCCACCAGAGGCTCCACCAGAGGCTCCTCCAGAGGCTCCTCCAGAGGCTCCTCCAGAGGCTCCACCAGAGGCTCCACCAGAAGCTCCACCAGAGGCTCTGTCAGAGGAGTTTCGCTTCACACACATTGGTCCGGTATCGAGCACAGATCAAACTCCTTCATGAGATCAGAAAATAATCGACCAATCAGGTTCGTCGGTGTTACACCTGGTGTGCACCCTATTCTGGTGCAGCGAAGGGAATCCAAGATGGCCGACATGAAGTCAGTGATTTAAATAAAAAGTTTAAATACGATCTGAAGAAACGGATGTCACTTTTAATACAATATGAGGCGAGATGATGGTTCCGTGTTGATGGTTCCATGTTGATGGTTCCATGCTGATGGTTCAGTGTTGATGGTTCCATGTTGATGGTTCCGTGTTGATGGTTCCATGTTGATGGTTCCATGTAGATGGTTCCATGTAGATGGTTCCATGTTGATGGTTCTGTGTTGATGGTTCCATGTAGATGGTTCTATATTGATGGTTCCGTGTTGATGGTTCCATGTAGAAGGTTCCATGTTGATGGTTCCGTGTTGATGGTTCCATGTAGATGGTTCCATGTTGATGGTTCCATGTAGATGGTTCCATGTTGATGGTTCCATATTGATGGTTCCATATAGATGGTTCCATATTGATGGTTCCATGTAGATGGTTCCATGTTGATGGTTCCATGTTGATGGTTCCATGTTGATGGTTCCATGTAGATGGTTCCATGTAGATGGTTCCATGTTGATGGTTCCATGTTGATGGTTCCATGTAGATGGTTCCATGTTGATGGTTCCATGTAGATGGTTCCATGTAGAAGGTTCCATGTTGATGGTTCCATGTTGATGGTTCCATGTTGATGGTTCCATGTAGATGGTTCCATGTTGATGGTTCCATGTAGATGGTTCCATGTAGATGGTTCCATGTAGATGGTTCCATGTAGATGGTTCCATGTAGATGGTTCCATGTAGATGGTTCCATGTTGATGGTTCCATATAGATGGTTCCATGTTGATGGTTTCATGTTGATGGTTCCATGTAGATGGTTCCATGTTGATGGTTCCATGTAGATGGTTCCATGATGGGTTCCATGTTGATGGTTCCATGTAGATGGTTCCATGATGGTTCCATGTTGATGGTTCCATGATGGTTCCATGTTGATGGTTCCATGTAGATGGTTCCATGATGGTTCCATGTTGATGGTTCCATGATGGTTCCATGTTGATGGTTCCATGTAGATGGTTCCATGTTGATGGTTCCATTATGGTTCCATGTAGATGGTTCCATGATGGTTCCATGTAGATGGTTCCATGATGGTTCCATGTTGATGGTTCCATGTAGATGGTTCCATGTTGATGGTTCCATGATGGTTCCATGTTGATGGTTCCATGTAGATGGTTCCATGTAGATGGTTCCATGTCGGTGTAAAGTGTGGCTGAAGTACTGGTGTTCCTGTTTACAACACTAACAGCAGGGTTGCCAGGTTGGGTGGTTTCCCACATACATGTTTTCCCAGAGACTTGTGGGTAATAAATAAACATAAAGACAGTAAACAGAATCATGATCGTCCAAGTTGATTACTTCAAGTTTTTAGCCAAAAAATCATTCTTTTTGTTTTTTTGGGCATTCTGATCCAGTTTCTCGCAGGTTTTGGGCTGGAAAATCTTGCCAGGATTTGGCAACCCATGGGATTCGTGTGCTTCGATGTGAGTGGTCATTCAAGATAACAGACAAGTGGTTTATCCAATCACATACAAGGATCTTTTACAAGGCCCCGCCTCCTGAAATCCAACCGTTATGAAGCAGACCCAGACCCAGACCCAGACCCAGACCCAGACCCAGACCCAGACCCAGACCCAGACCAAACCCAGACCATGACCCAGACCCAGACCCAGACCCAGACCCAGACCCAGACCCAGACCATGACCATGACCATGACCATGACTATGACCATGACCATGACTATGACCCAGACCCAGACCCAGACCCAGACCCAGACCCAGACCCAGACCCAGACCCAGACCCTGTGAAGCTCAGGGAACTACAAGGGTCTGGACAGAGTCAGGCGAGACTTTAGCGGCACCAGTTCACTACATGCTGCGGAGAGACCAGAGAGAGACCAGACCAGAGAGAGACCAGAGAGAGACCAGAGAGAGACCAGACCAGAGAGACCAGAGAGAGACCAGAGAGAGACCAGAGAGAGAGACCAGAAGAGACCAGAGAGAGACCAGAGAGAGACCAGAGAGAGACCAGAGAGAGACCAGAGAGAGACCAGAGAGAGACCAGACCAGAGAGAGACCAGAGAGAGACCAGAGAGAGACCAGACCAGAGAGAGACCAGACCAGAGAGAGACCAGACCAGAGAGAGACCAGACCAGAGAGAGACCAGAGAGACCAGAGAGAGACCAGAGAGAGACCAGAGAGAGAGAGACCAGAGAGAGACCAGAGAGAGACCAGAGAGACCAGAGAGAGACCAGAGAGAGACCAGAGAGAGACCAGAGAGAGACCAGAGAGAGAGACCAGAGAGACCAGAGAGAGAGAGACCAGAGAGAGACCAGAGAGAGACCAGAGAGACCAGAGAGAGACCAGAGAGAGACCAGAGAGAGACCAGAGAGAGACCAGAGAGAGACCAGAGACACCAGAGAGAGACCAGAGAGACCAGAGAGAGACCAGAGATAGACCAGAGAGAGACCAGAGATAGACCAGAGAGAGACCAGAGAGAGACCAGAGACACCAGAGAGAGACCAGAGAGAGACCAGAGAGAGACCAGAGAGAGACCAGAGAGACCAGAGAGAGACCAGAGACACCAGAGAGAGACCAGAGAGAGACCAGAGAGAGACCAGAGATAGACCAGAGAGAGACCAGAGAGAGACCAGAGAGAGACCAGAGAGAGACCAGAGAGAGACCAGAGAGAGACCAGAGAGAGACCAGAGATAGACCAGAGAGAGACCAGAGAGAGACCAGAGAGAGACCAGAGAGAGAGACCAGAGAGAGACCAGAGATAGACCAGAGAGAGACCAGAGAGAGACCAGAGAGAGACCAGAGAGAGAGACCAGAGAGAGACCAGAGATAGACCAGAGAGAGACCAGACCATAGAGAGACCAGAGAGAGACCAGAGAGAGAGACCAGAGATAGACCAGAGAGAGACCAGAGAGAGACCAGAGATAGACCCATTGCTATGTAGTTTTAATATTGTGTTTGTGAAATGAAGCAGAGAGCGAGGGACGGGCTCACCACAGAACTTCTTCTCTGCACCAGAAAACACCAGGAAACACCAGGAAACACCAGGAAACACCAGGAAGCACCAGGAAGCACCAGGAAGCACCAGGAAGCACCAGGAAACACCAGGAAACACCAGGAAGCACCAGGAAGCACCAGGAAGCACCAGGAAGAACCAGGAAACACCAGGTTAGAGTCAGAGCAGGTTGAGAAAAGTGGATTGTCAGAGGCTCTCACCTGTCTTCACCAGTCCACCTGCAGACACACAACAGACACACAACATGTTAGACACACAACACACAACAGACACACACATGAAAGACACACAACACACAACAGACACACAACATGTTAGACACACAACACACACACAACATGTTAGACACACAACACACAACAGACACACAACATGAGAGACACACAACAGACACATAACATGTTAGACACACAACACACAACAGACACACAACATGTTAGACACACAACACACAACAGACACAACATGAAAGACACACAACAGACACACAACATGTTAGACACAAGACACACAACAGACACACAACAGACACACAACATGTTAGACACACAACACACAACAGACACACAACATGAGAGACACACAACAGACACATAACATGTTAGACACACAACACACAACAGACACAACATGAAAGACACACAACAGACACACAACATGTTAGACACAAGACACACAACAGACACACAACAGACACACAACATGAGAGACACACAACAGACACACAACATGTTAGACACACAACACACAACAGACACACAACATGTTACAGACACACAACATGTTAGACACACAACACACAACAGACACACAACATGTTAGACACACAACACACAACAGACACAACATGAAAGACACACAACAGACACACAACATGTTAGACACACAACAGACACACAACATGTTAGACACACAACAGACACACAACATGTTAGACACACAACACACAACAGACACAACATGAAAGACACACAACAGACACACAACATGTTAGACACACAACACACAACAGACACACAACATGAGAGACACACAACAGACACACAACATGAGAGACACACAACAGACACATAACATGTTAGACACACAACACACAACAGACACAACATGAAAGACACACAACACACAACAGACACAACATGAAAGACACACAACAGACACACAACATGTTAGACACACAACACACAACAGACACACAACATGAGAGACACACAACAGACACACAACATGAGAGACACACAACAGACACACAACATGTTAGACACACAACACACAACAGACACACAACATGTTAGACACACAACACACAACAGACACAACATGAAAGACACACAACAGACACACAACATGTTAGACACACAACACACAACAGACACACAACATGAGAGACACACAACACACAACAGACACACAACATGAGAGACACACAAAACACAACTGACACACAACATGTTAGACACATAACACACAACAGACACACAACATGTTAGACACACAACACACAACAGACACACAACATGTTAGACACATAACAGACACACAACACACACAACATGAGACACACAACAGACACACAACATGAGAGACACACAACAGACACACAACATGAGAGACACACAACAGACACACAACATGGTTAAACTCACAACATGAAACATTCTAAACAAGAGGAGAGACCTCACCTGTTTCCTGCAGCAAGAGAGCTGAAAGAGAAGAGAGACACAGGTGAGAAACATCAGAGACCAGGAAGAGAGACCAGGAAGAGAGAGACCAGAGAGAGAGAGACCAGAGACCAGAGAGAGACCAGAGACCAGGAAGAGAGAGACCAGAGACCAGGAAGAGAGAGACCAGAGAGAGAGAGACCAGAGAGAGACCAGAGAGAGACCAGAGAGAGACCAGAGACCAGGAAGAGAGAGACCAGAGACCAGGGAGAGAGAGACCAGCAAGAGAGAGACCAGAGAGAGACCAGAGACCAGGAAGAGAGAGACCAGAGAGAGACCAGAGAGAGACCAGAGAGAGACCAGAGAGAGACCAGAGAGAGACCAGAGAGAGACCAGACCAGAGAGAGACCAGAGAGAGACCAGAGAGAGACCAGACCAGAGAGAGACCAGAGAGAGACCAGAGAGAGACCAGAGAGAGACCAGAGAGAGACCAGAGAGAGACCAGAGAGCAAGACCAGAGAGAGACACAGATGAAAAATAGCAGAAATGCAGTAAAAGTATAAGGTGTGTTGCAGACGCCACAAACAGTTAGACACACAAACACACACAGACACACACAGAGACACAGAGACACAGAGACAGAGATACAGAGACACAGACACAGAGACACAGACACAGAGACACAGACAGAGACACAGACACAGAGACACAGACACAGAGACACAGACACAGACACAGAGACACAGACACAGAGACACAGACACAGACACAGAGACACAGACACAGAGACACAGAGACAGAGACACAGACAAAGACACAGAGACACAGAGACACAGACACAGAGACACAGACACAGAGACACAGAGACAGAGACACAGACAAAGACACAGAGACACAGAGACACAGACACAGAGACACAGACACAGAGACACAGACACAGAGACACAGACACAGAGACAGAGACACAGACACAGAGACACAGACACAGACACAGACACAGACACAGACACAGAGACACAGACACAGACACAGAGACACAGAGACACAGACACAGAGACACAGACACAGACACAGGGACACAGAGACAGAGACAGAGACACAGACACAGACACAGAGACACAGACACAGAGACAGAGACACAGACACAGAGACACAGAGACAGAGACACAGACACAGACACAGAGACAGAGACACAGACACAGACACAGACACAGACACACAAAGACACAGACACAGACACAGACACAGACACAGACACACAGACACAGACACAGACACAGAGACACAGACACAGAGACACAGACACAGAGACACAGACACAGAGACACAGACACAGAGACACAGACACAGAGACACAGACACAGAGACACAGACACAGAGACACAGACACAGAGACACAGAGACACAGACACACAGACAGAGACAGAGACAGAGACAGAGACAGAGACATAGAGACATAGACACAGAGACAGAGACACAGACACAGACACACAGAGACACAGAGACACAGAGACACAGACACAGAGACACAGAGACACAGACACAAAGACACAGACACAGACACAGACACACAGAGACACAGAGACACAGACACAGAGACACAGACACAGAGACACAGAGACACAGACACAAAGACACAGACAGAGACAGACACAGAGACACAGAGACAGAGACACAGAGACACAGACACAAACACAGACAGAGACAGACACAGAGACACAGAGACAGAGACACAGACACAGACACAGAGACACAGACACAAACACAGACAGAGACAGACACAGAGACACAGAGACAGAGACACAGACACAGAGACACAGACACAGAGACACAGACACAGAGACACAGACACAGAGACACAGACACAGAGACACAGACACAGAGACACAGACACAGAGACACAGACAGAGACAGACAGAGACAGACACAGAGACACAGACACAGACACAGAGACACAGAGACACAGACACAGAGACACAGACACAGAGACACAGACACAGAGACACAGACACAGAGACACAGACACAGAGACACAGACACAGAGACACAGACACAGAGACACAGACAGAGACAGACAGAGACAGACACAGAGACACAGAGACAGAGACACAGACACAGAGACACAGACACAGAGACACAGACACAGAGACACAGACACAGAGACACAGACACAGACACAGAGAGACACAGACACAGAGACACAGACACAGAGACACAGACAGAGACAGACAGAGACAGACACAGAGACACAGACACAGACACAGAGACACAGAGACACAGACACAGACACAGAGACACAGAGACACAGACACAGAGACACAGACACAGAGACACAGACACAGAGACACAGAGACACACAGACACAGACAGAGACACAGACACAGAGACACACACTGGACATGTTGGAAGAATGAATCCTCTATCACACTTTCTCAGCTGAGAGAGGAGCAGCGGCTCTACTCCAAGCTCCTCTCATGTGACAGAGCTCTTTCTCCCATCTCCAACAGAAGCTCATGTGCCCAGAGCTCTGACTGCAGACGCTGCTCCCTCCTCAACACAACAGGCTGACCATCTCCTCACCGACAACAAGACCTGACAGGACCAAGACCAGTACCTGGTGAGGACCAGGACCAGGAGAGGACAAGGACCAGGACCAGGAGGGGACCAGGACCAGGAGAGGACCAGGACCAGGAGAGGACACCGACCAGGACCAGGAGGGGACCAGGAGAGGACAAGGACCAGGACCAGGAGAGGACCAGGAGAGGACCAGGAGAGGACCAGGACATGACGAGGGGAGGTCCAGGAGATTACAAGAACTAATTTTTTTAGTCATGGAGCTCAGAAACGGAACAGTGGCATCTCAGAGGTCAGAGGTCACAGGTCACAGGACACAGGACAGAGGACAGAGGACAGAGGAGAGAGGACAGAGGACTGAGGAGAGAGGACAGAGAACAGAGGCGAGAGGACAGAGGAAAGAGGACAGAGGAGAGAGGACAGAGGACTGAGGAGAGAGGACAGAGGACAGAGGCGAGAGGACAGAGGAAAGAGGACAGAGGAGAGAGGACAGAGGCAAGAGGACAGAGGACAGAGGCGAGAGGACAGAGGACAGAGGACAGAGGAGAGAGGACAGAGGACAGAGGACAGAGGAGAGAGGACAGAGGACAGAGGACAAGGAGAGAGGACAGAGGACAGAGGCGAGGAGGACAGAGGAAAGAGGACAGAGGAGAGAGGACAGAGGACTGAGGAGAGAGGACAGAGGACAGAGGAAAGAGGACAGAGGAGAGAGGACAGAGGAGAGAGGACAGATGACAGAGGACAGAGGAGAGAGGACAGAGGAGAGAGGACAGAGGAGGGAGGACAGAGGAGAGAGAAGAGAGGAGAGAGGACAGAGGTCAGAGGTCAGAGGACAGAGGAGAGAGGACAGAGGACTGAGGAGAGAGGACAGAGGACAGAGGAAAGAGGACAGAGGAGAGAGGACAGAGGCGAGAGGACAGAGGACAGAGGACAGAGGACAGAGGAGAGAGGACAGAGGACAGAGGAGAGAGGACAGAGGAAAG